CCTACTATCTCTTCTGTCCTAGCCTGCCATCCATAATCCCCTTGTTTCTCTACCCCTTTCATACTTCTCTCTTACTCTCTGGGCTGCATTTCAATGCATCCATTCACCTCTCCCTTCTTTCCACCCACTACCCCCCAGACTCATCTTCAGCATAAGTACCATTTTTTTCCAGCTGCTAACAGTTCTGAAGAAGAGTCACTGAATTCAAAACATTAAGTCTGCTTTACTCGCACAGATGCTGCCAGACCTGCTGAGTTTCGCCAGCAATTTCAGTTTTTGTTTCAGACCTCCAGCATCTGCAGTTCTTTGTTTTATTGTATAGTGGGCAATTAATGCCATTTCAGAGGGCTGTTAAGAATCAAATACACTGCTGTGGGTCAAGAGTCACACGTAAACCAGTCCAGGTGAGGACAGCAGATTTCCTTCCCTGAAAGACATGAATGAAATTTCCTTGATTCTTAGTGACAGTCCACATATCGGGACCGATCTTCATCGGGGACCCTATCTACCAACACTAAGCTACTTCATCCACTGCTTAGCACTCTGTTCGACTGCTCGTCTGTACACACTGCTATCTTTGCTCAGTGCATTGCACAATTTTCTGCATCTAAATCACCTACCTAGCCTGTTGCCCCTTCTCTTGCTGTTCTTTCAACCTTCTGATTGTTTGTCTGTATAGCTCACAGCCAGACGTTCCATTCCACCCTACGTTTCCACCCTCTGTTCACTTTGCTGTCATGTTGCTACTATCTTCTGTTGTCCATCTGTTTATACTGCTGCCAATTATGTGAGGGTGCTAGGACCAGCTACTCTTGTAGGCCAAACATGCTTTTCCCTGCCGCAGCTGATCATCTAGAAAGGGTGGCCTCTTTAACAAACATCAGTTTTACTGGAAGAGGGATAAGGATTTGAAACATAGATTCAAACCTAGATACGTAATATAAAAAAAGTGTGAGACACAGCTGTAAAACTATGAAGTGTTCTGTACTGTTCCATTGTCTTGATCATTTCTGCGAAGCTGCATTTCTTCAAGTCATGCTAGTCTCAAACGTCACAAATTATTCCTCTAATCCTGATATTTAGTTTTTGACTGTGCAATCGTTCAACTCATAACATACAGACAATTAGACAGGGATTATAGCTCAGTGCTAGTTTGCTGAAACAATTTTGCCGAAACAATTTTGCTATCTACATTTAGATTGTGTGTGATAAGGGTACGTGACATGTAGTTTACCAATGAAACTCTCCGTTGACTGAGAGTGCTCAATAACATACAGATGTTTATTCAATGAGTACTATTGTTGTAATGTCACTAAAAACAACAAAATTGTCCTAGCTGGAAATTTTGAGATCTTAAACTGTAGTAAATACTCACTGTAAGTAACTAATAGAGCTGCCACATTGACTATTTTGCTCTGATTGTAAACATTTCTGACCTTTTTACATACTCCTTGATAATGCAGCTCATTTGATAATTATATCTGGATTTCTTAAATGCAGTTTATACAAGTTACTGAGGAAAATGGCTTACCTGATCCACCAGCTGGTTGTACAGATCATGGCAGTTGTCAAAAATATATTTGTAGGTTGAGTCTAAGCAAGCTTTGACACAGTCTCTCACCACAGAACTCGCTCTTGGGGGGCTCTGTAATTCTTGAACCTGAAATGAGTCAATGATTTTACAATGCAAACCACCAAAAGCAAGAACAAAATACGGAAGTTGCTCGAAAAGCTCAACAGGTCTGGCCGCATCTGTGAAGAAAAATCAGAGTTAACATTTCGGGTCCAGTGACTCTTCCTCAGTTCTGTCTTGAATAGTGAGCATTTGGGTGAGATACAAGACAACAGCCAGTTTCCCAGAGCCATACCCCAGCTTACAGTCAGCATTTCCACAAAGTGGAAAATAAATTTAGCAAAGAAATGGAATATTGAAAGCACTACTGATTGTTATTAGAGATAACAAGGTGTAGAGCTGGATGAACACAGCAGGCCAAGCAACATCAGAAGAGCAGGAAAGCTGACGTTTCGGGTCTGGACCCTTCTTCAGAAATGATTGTTATTGTATTGCTGAAGAACATTCAAAGTTGAATTTATGTAACTAAAAAGAGCAGGATTGAGATATATTAGTTTTGAAACCACTTAAGTGAACTGCAGTATCTTTTCTGGTCCTGAACTTTCCTTTCTAATCAATTCACGGAGCATGCTTGTCAATAGCAGTCTGAAAAACGCATTCTAAAAGTTCTCCGTCGAAGGACAAAATCATTCTCACCCTCTAAATAAAGTTTTCCTATCATGTTATGAACTCAACTAATCATCTGGCAGAGTTTTCATTGAGAATGGGGTCTTTTAAGGGAATGCTGCATCTGGTGGGAAGTCCTAAGGGACAGTATTTGCATCTCTGCCTCTGAACCAGCAGCTACGGTTTCAAGTCTCACGCCAGGACTTCACAATCAAGGACGGTGCGTTCATAATGCAGACAAACAGACTGGAGCATCAATCTGCAAACTGTACTGACACACACCAATGGCAGGCGTAAGATTGGGAACGATTTCTAGTCAACCATGTGATGGAAAGAAATAACAACCTCTACAATCACTATTCACAGCTTCGACAACATGCAGGTAAAAGTGCATGCTCCCACAGCAACTCGGACAGACTTAGGGGCTGAGTGGCTGGATAACTGGCGTGAATCAGACTGGTATCAGGGTTCAATTCCCCTTTCTGACTTCTTCTTGAGGATTTTCCTCCTTGCCGCAACCATTGTGGAGATTGGGCGCAGTGGATCAGCCCTGTCTTCAGGCAGAGAATTGAAGAGGAGGATTGCATCATGACAGTTTGTGCTAGTCTTTCCTTTTGCTTCCCTTATCACAGCAGCCCCTGACCTGGGTCACTTCACTTCATTCCATTAGCTAACATCCAGAATAACCTTTTCCTGAAGATTAGTAGGATGGAGGTAGGAAGCCATTAGATTGGAGAATGGCAGCAAATGAAGGTGGAGGTGGTTTATTTTAAATGCAATGTCTCAAGGAGCGTGTCAAAGAAAATTGCACTAGGTCTATGGAAGAAACAGATCCAATGGGTAGAATGGCCTTTTCTTATTCCTTAGAGCGTTATAAGAAATAAATGTTTTCTCCCTTTAGGGTCCAGGCTGTAGGAGAGATGTGTGTGTGTAGTTCAGCAGTGCAGTTCCAAACATAGTCTTTGTTGTACGTCTGTTTGTGGTTCACTGGAACAGCCACTTTATGACAAACAATTTCAGAGGACCCTGTAATTTCCTGAGAATTATAGACACAATCAGGCTCAATTAAAGCAATACTACTCAATAACAGATTTAACCCAGATGTTGAAAATATTCTTTCAGAGAACCGATGTTAGATTGTTGCAAGAGCAAATAACCACGTGTAACGCATTAGATTCTGCATCGACTCAATGTGGCAGTCAGTACTTGCTAAAAGGGTCACGTCACCACGGAAAACATATCTGTGCAAATAACATTTAGCAAAACCAATTATCCACATCACACTGTAAAACAAAATAAAACATTTCACACAATATATTTGTCATGAAATGTAATGAACAAACCTGTCTTCACCAGAAAACAATTCATTTGCTTCTACCTAATGCTGCACTAAGTAAGCTATTACCTTACCTTCATACGGAAAAATGTAATGCTGGTCAAAAGGTCCACAGTTGATTTCAGGTCTTGCAATCTTTCTGGATTGCTGGCTGGGAAATTATCCTAGCAAGAGTAACACAGAAAAATTATAAAAGCAGAAAATACTGGAAATACTCAGCAGGTCTGGCAGCAACCATGGAGAGGGAAACAGAGTAAATGCTTTGGCTTGATGGCCTTTCACTATGTGTGGCACAAATATGAAATAATTTTCATTAAGAAAACAGAAATAAAGCCAGTTATTTCATGGTGACCAGGAACTACAGGTTACAGAAGTTAAAATTACCCTCTGGCTTCTGCAGTTTATGAATAGTGACAGTAAGGAAGAAATCCTTACATTTATATAGTAGTTTTCACAATTACTTGATGTGTCAGAATGGTTTATAGCTCATGAACTACTCTGAGATGTAATCACTGCTGTAAATGTGGGAATAATGTGGCAGCAAAGTTGTGTGCAGCAATTTCACACCAGCAGCAATGTGATAATAGCCAGATAATCTGCTTTTGTGATGTTGATTAAGAGAAATACTGGCCAAGGCAAACAGCATAATTGCTTTGTCTTCTTTGAGATAGTGTCTGATGATCATTTACAGCTATATGACGGGACAACTGGGGCCTTAGTTTATCGTCTCATCCAAAAGGCGACATCTCTGATAGTGCAGCACTCTCTCGGGATAGAACCGGATGTCAAACTGGATTTTTTGTTGTCAAGTCCTAGAAAGAAATTTGAATCCACATGTTTTGGCTTGGAAGCAAGAGTGTTACCACTGAGCCGTGGCTGACATCCTGAAACTGCCTCCTGTGAGCACATACTCAGAGGAAGTACTAAAGAAATACATGATGTGGAGGTGCTGGTGTTGGACTGGGATGTACAAGGTCATAAGTCACACAACACCAGGTTATAGTCCGAGATAGTAGGAACTGCAGATGCTGGAGAATCCGAGACAACAAGGTGCAGGGCTGGATGAACACAACAGGCCAAGCAGCATCATAGGAGCGGAAAGGCTGACGTTTCGGGCCTAGACCCCTTATCAGAAAAGCTGGATGTGTTCATCCAGCCCTGCACCTTGTTGACCAGGTTATAGTCCAACAGGTTTATTTGAAATCACAAGCTCTCGGAGCGCTGCTCCTTCGTCACTTAGCAGTGCTCCAAAAGCTTGTGATTCCAAATAAATCTGTTGGATTATAACCTGGTGTCATATGATTTCTAAAGAAATCCAGACAGAACTAGCCATAACAGCTCCCAGTCTATGGCTTCGAGTTTGATGACCAGCTGGAAATAATTCCTCGATTTGCATTATCAACTACAGAGACAGATACAAAATAACAATTCAACACTTGTGTAATTTCCTGGTTTTATCGTTGATTCCCCGGTTTTATTGTTGATTCCCCAGTCTTGTCCTCCAAGGGACCAGTGCTCATTTTAGCTGTTCTTTTCCTTTTAGATGCTTGTAGAAGTTGTTACTGTCTACTTTTAGAGATCTAGTTAGTTTTCTCTCATTCGCTAATTTCTCCCCTTTTTTAAAAATCATCCTATGGCAGATTCTAAACTGTGTCCAATTTTCTGACGGAGTGTATTGGACATCTTTTCTTTCAATTTGATACTATCCATTAACTTCCTTAGTTGGCCACAGATGGCACATTCTCTCACAGTCTTCCTTACTCTATGTGATATATCTTTGTTAAGAGTTATGAAATAGCTCCCTAAACATCTGCTACTGCTTCTCAACTGCCTTCTTTTCTTCATTTTTCCAGCCCACTTTAGCCAATTCTGTCTGCACAGTTTTGAAAATGCCTTTATTCAAACTTAAAACACCAGTTTGGGACACATGTTTCTCACCCTCAAACTGAATGTTAAATTCTATCATGTTATGTTACGATCACTGTTGCCTCGAGGGTCTTTAACTATGAGGTTATTACTTAATCCTGCTTCATTACACATTAGCAGATCCAAAATAGTTTGCCCCCGGTTAGCTCTAGAATGCATTGCTGTAAAGTATTGCCGCCAGTACACTTTATGAACTTGCCAATCTGATTATTCCAATCCTTGTGAAGATTAAAATTCAGGCCACATTATTGCAGCTCCGTTCTCACAAACCCTCATTATTTCTTCAGTTATATTTTGTCATATAGAGTTACTGGGGCCTATAAACTACTCCCACAAGTGAATTATTTACTGTGCTATTTAGCATATTCACCCAAGTTGATTCTAAATCATGCTCTTCTGATCAAAGGTTATCTTTAGCATGCGACTAATCTCATCCTTTAATCTCCTGCAAAAGCTGAACCACCCAGCTCTGTAACTGTTGCCTCCTCGTAACGTGAAGCTTTCATTACATCTAAAGGTTTAGGTTTTATTTCATCAGTCATAAATACAGTAGGATGGGAAGATGTGTGGGAAGAACTTTGAAATGAAGGAGAACTCAGTTCCCTGTTTGAGAATATATCACTGTTACATATTGTTCGTACATACCCTATATTTAGAAAGGTCAATCCTCAGTGAGTTGTGCAACTGATCCAGCAGCTTTATAAATTTCTCTCTCTGTGAAATAAATAAAATATAAGCTTTTGTAAGTCTTTGGGAAACATTCCTGAAACTCTAATTTTTAATTCTTTAACCACAAATATTCATAGGAACATCGTAATAAAATTATAGACAACTGCAGGTGGTATAAGTTGCCTTCTCACAAATATCACTTCATTTCTTATATCGTGGTAAATTGATATTGCCAATGAAGTGCCAGCATTTTAATGAGAGTCAACATACACTTTGAAATGTTTTTATTTCAGAGGGAGAGATGACGATAAAATCAGCAGCATATGAATGCATAATTGGACTTGGTTTTAGAAAACTTCTCTCTCCACACACAAAGAAATCGATTTTAATACTGTGCTATCGTGATGAATAAGAGTGTCAGCGTAATTGATTAAGAACATTCTTCTGTAATGTTGCAGGTAATTGACAGATAATATGAATTTTGCTAAGGCAATCAGCCCAAACTCTTAGGAACATGCACAGTTCATTTTCACAATTTAATTAATTCCTAAGAACCTATCATATTTTTAGCTGGGATACTCAGGTCTTCAGGAATTGGAAGGGGCTTAATGAGATTTTGGTAGAAAAACAACACGTCACACAGTTCTAAAAAAAAGTTAAATTTATCGCGCACATTATGAATCAGCTTTCTCTCACTTTGCCTCAGTATGGTTAATGAATAGTCAGTGATTTCATGAAACAGTATGTAAAATACATTATTTTCTAAGTTATTTTATTTAGGAGGTTAATACACTTATGCTGAAAGCAGCGTAATGAATGCATGTTGCTGTGAAATATGTTTATAGTGAACCACCTGCTAATAGATACGTTTGAACAATTTAATAGATTTGTGATATTTATACATTTTAAACAGTTTTGGTATTTAAGTATTTGAGACATTATAATAGGATTATGAAAATCTGTGCGCTATTTCAGACTGTTAATTTTCAACATTTAATTTGTTAAGCAAATATTCAGTCAAGTGTTTTCTACCTAATTGGGTATCATGTCATTTAAGCTCCAAACACAAGGTTACTTGCAGCAAGAAATTGTTTATATTCAATTATTCATTGAAGAGATTTAGTTACGAGGAAAGATATGAACAAATGGGGCTCTTTGCTTTAAAGGAGACTAGTTAATGAGAAAATCTGATTACATGTCGAAAATGATGATAGATGATGTGGTGAATATGGAAATTCACCGCCCTGTCAATGAGTCAGTAACTTGAGAACATAAGTTTAGGATCATCATCAAAATAACTAAAAGTGATGAATGAGCACAGCAAGCAGACCAGACAGATGAATTGCAGTGGCACACAGCAGCTAGTGTCTCCATGGAGATTCTGGGTCATGTGAATAAAGGGCATTAAGTGAACACTATAACCTGCAATTTCACATTGACTCCAGTGTAAACCAGATGTCTCTTTTTCATGGAATCTGGTTATCACTGGAAACACCAAAATTTGTTGCCAACTTGTAACTGGCCTTGGAATAGGTGGCTTGCTAGGCTGTTACAGAGGATAGGGCAGCACGATGGCTCAGTGGTTAGCACTGCTGCCTCACAGTGCCAGGGTTCAATTCCACCCTCAGGTGACTGTCTGTTTGGAGTTTGCCCATTTTCCCAGTGTCTGTGCAGATTTCCTGTGAGCTCTGGTTTCTTCCCAAAGATGTGCAGGTTAGGGTGGATTGGCTATGGGAGATGTAGGGTTACAAGGATAGGGTAGGGGCATGGGTCTGGGTGGAATGATCTTCAGAGGGCTGGGGTGGATTTGAAGGGCCGAATGGCCTGATTCTATGTGATTCTATGATTGCATGGTAGTTAAGATCACCCATCTTGCTGTGGGCCTGACAATAGGGTTAAACTCATCCTTTCAGGGATGTGTATAAACCTTGCATTATGTAGCTCGCCTCATTTTGCATTTAGCCAGGGTAAAGCAGAGTTGTGTAGGGTATGGAGGTCTATATGGAAAAAATTGCAGACTCAACTTAGTTGCTCAGCAAAATTTATAAAGCAAATATGATATTTAGTTTTAATAAAGGACTTTGAAATGTTTCAAGAAGATTTTCCAGAGGCTAAATTTCAAAATGTATTGCTCAATAGAGCTAGACAGTTTAAAGGAAACAAATGGATTTTAATCTGGAGCAAGCTTCTTCTTTGGTTTATTTTCATACACCCATTGCACTTTCATATATTATCTGAATGCTTTATTAATTTGCAAACAAGACTTCCATGTAAAGATGCAAATTAATACGGTACTTACTCCAAAGTTTGAAGCAGCAAATCGATCTGAGGCTGAAACGTTTGTTGAAGCTGTAGTATGTGCAAAATATGCATTAATATTGGCCAACAAAGTGCTCATTACAGCAGGAACGCCTGGGCACATGTATTTGGACGACAGACAGGAGAAATGCCTACAGAAGGAACAGTTAGAACTTTATTTTTATACTTTTAGTCGAGAACATCACATTAGATGCATGGTTACCCGAACTCAACCCTATCTTTGCTGTCTTCACCTAACTGATGCGTAAATTTGCCTGCATTTCCAAATCTTCACTGTTGTACACTGCTGTACTTGTACCTTGCAGACATTCAGAATGAATCAATTACTAAATATCATACCCCTTAGACAGTACGTGTGAATGAAACACAGACGTAATTTTCACTCCCATTGTTCATTGCAAAAAAAAAATTTAATTTGGTGTTAGAACATTTCACAGCATCAAATATCAATTAACACAAAGAGCATTTTATTTTCTGCTGGTTAATTTATTAATTGAAAATTTCCCATGTGACCAGGGATTGATGGAGAGGGAGGGCGGGAAGGGAAAGAAAGTGGCAAAGTAGAATTGTTCACCATTACCTATAGGGCGAAGCACTTACGCTAAGATTAGCAGAATGTCCCACCTCCCAGCCATGAGAAGCCTGTCACTTTTATGATGTCCACAGGCATGTTGAAGAAACAGTGTCAGAGATCAAACTCTGCATGATCATCTCTGCAAAATGCACTGATCAAGCTGAGGATTAACCCGAACAACTGCTGTCACCTCCCTGCCAAATGTTCTTATTATCTCTTTCTCAAAGAGACTGACTGGGCCACAGTCTCGCTTACTGATTCCTCTCCCTTTCTGCTTCTAATACCTTAGCAGTATTTATTCAGGGATGAAAAAGGCAGCGAGTGACAGAAGGGCATAAAATATCAAAGCTAAAAGCCAAGCTTGTCTCAATTGGTGCACATCTTCTAAGAAGATTCCGGGGATTAACCAGCTCCTCGTCATTAGAAAACGTTGAAACTCAGAGTCGGACGGAGAAGGGGAGAAATAAAGATGGAAAGTGCCAAATCTCAGTAGCTCTGGCAGCATCAGTGGGGACAGAAACTGATGTGCCATTTTGAGCTTTTATTTAAGTCAGGTGGAATTTTCCCTTTTTCAGGCTAGGTGTCATGGTGGGCTCAAAAGAAAACTTGAGTTTTCTTAATTTAAGAATTAAGTTCTTCTTAGCTCATTACACATTTAAAATGTCCAACTTCATGGGCAGGAAGCTTTGAAACTTGTCGGAGCTTTCTGTTGCTCTCATGTCTTGGATACCATACTTAAAAAGCACCTCAATCTCCACAACCCAGCAGCATTGCTCAGTCTCTCCTCAACACCCCCACCCAGGACTGGAAGTGTCAGAGACCAGGCAAAAAGCAGCACCACACTTTAGCAAGGCCTCCCGAGATGTTCTCCTGAAGTACAGGAGGGAAGGGAAATTCGCTTCTCTAGAGGTGACTGCAAGAGGTTACCTCGACCAGTGAAGGCAAACTAGACAGCAGTGACTGCAGAGATCAGTGCCCATAGGTGGCTCGAGGGAACCCTGGCTCCAGTTTGGCAAGACGATAAATAATCTGCTATGATCTGCCAGGAAACGTGTCTTTGTCTACTTGATGCTTCATGCTCCTGTGAATGAAAGGTCGCACGGCGAGGTTACATACTCTACAGTGCTGCAACACAGGAGGACGGGTGCCCAGCATCATCGTCATTTGCCACATCTACAGCCAATGTCTGTTGCTCCGTTGCAGCTACCAATAGCACGGGTTGCACCATATAGCGGCACTGCCTCTCACGCATCCACCAAGATTCACATTTAAAACATAGAAGGAGCTACAGCACTCCAGCTCATGTACCATCAGGTCACCAACTTTTCATCACAATGAGGAGAACGCTCACATTTGACAGTTTTTCACCAAATGCTTGCCTGGGACAAGAACACAATCATAAAGTGTGGCCTTTGGAGTTGAGCTCCCTTTTGATTTGGGACCTGTTTAGCAGCTTTGGTTTGGGTTGCTGATGTCAGTGTCACTGCCTTGTCTGGGCAGGATTGTTGGTTAGGTCAGGTTTCACCATCAAGCAGAGTTAGCAACAACAAGCCACACTGAGGCTGCTCAATATAGAATGGCTTCACCCTTTTACACCATGAGCTTTTGTGCAAAGAAATAGCTTGATTCTGAAGGAAAGTCACTGGACTCGAAACAACAACTCTATTTCTCTCTCCACGGATGCTGCCAGCCCTTTCTCCAGAATCCTCTGGGCTTGATTCTGCTGGCTCAGAGGTTGGGACACTACCATAAGACCTTCCTGAGATTCTACAGTGAGCACAAATGAATTCAATAATACTCACCAGATGAGTAGAATTAGAACCCAGAGATTTACAATTAACAGAGGAATAAGGACTCTTGTGCTGGAGTGGTAGTGTCCCTTCCTTTGAGCTAGGAGACCAGGGTTTAAGCCTTACCTACTGCAGAGGTGAGGTGTGTAATAACATCTCCGAAAAGGTTGAGTAGAAAATATCTACAATTACCAGCAATTCCAAATGCAACGCTAGATCAGTTGTCCTAGGGAAGTCAATGATTTAAATCTGGAATTTCTAAGTTGTAACACCAGAAAATCTAGGTTTAAATCCAGCCCAGCTTTATGATATAATTATTGCTATATGTTAAAGATGATTTATAAGCTACAGCTGGTGTCAAGCAGTTGAGGTTATTGATCCATTAGGGATTTAAGGATGATCGTTATGTTTAAATATGAACAAACACAATTTCTTACTTTTGATACACAACACAATCCCAGCTCATGTGCCCACTCAGTGTATTTTATATTTGAAATAAAATGGTTTATTTTCCATTTTTTTGAATACTTCTTTATTATTTTTAAAAATATTGGTAATAAACTGACTGAACTGGTAGAAGATCACAAGATGAAGCTTCCATCAATGAATGTCTGACCTTGTGTGATTGACCTTCAAAAGAAATTCCATGCAAATTTTCAGCAAATTTACTGCTGCTTCCCTCAAGCTCACTTAATAACAATTATTCTTTTTATCATCAATCTTATTTTGAAATAAATAAATCCTGCTTTTAGATAACTCAAGTACCCAAACATCCAGGCAAACTGTCAGCTCTACATTCCCACAAGTCACCTCAGTTTAAACCTAAAGTAAAGATGCCATCATCCCGGAGGACCATAGGGTTGCTCTCTCAATATAGTGAGATGATTGCTGGTGGTTTAACCAGAGTGTTACCACACTTCTGACGCGGAGAGAGGTTGAGAAGGAGAGTCTTTCATGGTAACCTCAGCTGGTGCAGGAATTGAACCCACTCCGTTAGCATCACTCTGTATTGCAAACCAGCCTTCCAGCCCACCGAGCTAACCCACCCAAGGCATATGGAAAATTGAAACACCATCAAGGCAGATTGCAACACTTCTGACAACATGGTCCTTTGTATTGAAATTGAGGCCCTTTAAGTGTTTTCCTTATGAGGGCAGACAGATATGCACAACTGGGGAGGACCTCCGTGAAAGATGAGAAGCTGATTTTATGTCGTCTCCTGATGGCAGGAACAAAGGCATAAGGGGCCTTATAATACTGGGACAATTTCTGATAGTTGGAGAATGCTGTACCTGATGCTGGATGTTAAGGAGGGAGATAATCCTTCAGGGCCCGAGAGGAAGGCAGGTTCAGTTAAACAGCAATCAACAGGTATCAGGCGGTAAACTTTCTGCTGCTTGGAGTCAGACCTGTCACATAGGAAGATGATTGTGGTCGTTGGAGGTCAGTCATCTCAGCTCTAGGACATCTCTTTTCTTTCAAGATGGCGGCAGAATAGCAGCACAATATGTAAGTTTCTCAGCCCAGGAGCCTGGGGCTCCTCTACTCCGTCCACTGTACATTTTTTTCTTTTTCTGCCTTTTTTTAAATGTTTCTATTAATCACAGTACCTTACCGTCTTTTAATGACTTCTCCCAGGCCAGGCTCAGCAATGCGGAGGCTTCCAATGGCCTGGAATGGTGGTAAAGGCCTGGTGCCTGGTGGAGCGGGCTCCCAGTGTGGCAGGCTTGTCCAAGAGGGGTGGTGTCGGCCTTGAGTAGTGTTCTGGTTCCATTGTGGAGGTCTACTCCCGGCATGGAGGTCTCGACTCAGCGTAGCAAGGTGGTCTCGGCCTAGGTTTTCCAGCGTACCCCAAACCCAGGAGCCGTTAATTGAACTGTGATGAACTTTTACTTCATTTTTCTTCTTCTTCGTGAATTCTGTTATTAATTTAGGCACTGTGGTATGGCGACTTATAAAACGTTTCACTATTTGTTTTTGTAAAAAACACATGACAATAAATTGCTACTCTATTCTATCTCACCAGGAGTTCCCCACGGTAGTATCCTAGGCCCTACCATCCTCAGTTGCTTCTCTCCATTATAAGGTCAGAAGTGGGGATGTTCGCCGATGATTGTACAAGGTTCAGCCCATTCATGACTCCTCAGATACTGAGGCAATATCCAGGCTTAGGCTGACAAATGGCAAGTACCAATCGCGCCACATAAACACCAGGCAATGATGTGCAATAAGAAACAATCTATCCATCGCTCCTTGTCATTTAATGGTGTAATCATCATTCAATCCCGCACACTCAGCATCGCTGGAGTTACCATTAACCAGAAACTCAAGTGGACTTGCCGCATAAACATAATGGCTACAAGAGTAGGGTTAGAAGTTAGGAATATTGCGGCAGGTAACTCACCTCCTGACTCCCTAAAGCCTGACTACCTCCACAAGGCACAAGTCAGGAGTGTGATGGGATATTCCCCACTTGCCTGGATCAGTGTAGCTCCAACAACACTCAAGAAGCTTGACACCATATGAGAACGTAGATGGGTGAGCATTCAGTTCTGGTTGCCACATTACAGGAAGGATGTAGAGGGTTTGGGGAGGGTACAGAAGAGGCTTACCAGGATGCTGCCTGGATTAGAAGGTATGAACTACAGGGAGAGGCTAGAAGAACACAGGTTGTTTTCTCAGGGGCTGAGGGGAGACCTGATAGAAGTCTATAAAATTATAAGATGCATTGATAGGGTTGACAGTCAGAATCTTTTTCCCAGAGTTGAAATATCCAAAACTAGAGGGCATGCATTTAAGATGAGAGGGGGAAAATTCAAAGCAGATGTGAAGGGCAAGTCTTTTTAGACACAGAGAGTGGTAGAAGTCTGGAATGTGCTGCCGGGGTGTTGGTGGAGATAGATACGATCGGGAGTTTTAGATAATCACACAAATATGCAAGATTGTACCAAGGGCAGGCAGAAGGGACTAGTTTAATTTGGCATCACATTCAGCACAACATTGTAGGCTGAAGGGTCCGTTCCAGAGCTGTATTGTTCTATGTTCTATGTACCGTTCAGGGCAAAGCAGCCTGCTTGATGGGTATCACATCCACAAGCATCCATTTCCTCCACCACTAATGGTCAGTAGCAGCCACGTGTACTGTCTACAACATGCACTGCAGAAATTCACCCAGCACCTTCCAAATCCATCACCACTTCCACTTAGAAGGACAAGGGCAGCAAATACATGGAAACACCACCCCATGCAAGTTTTCGTCCAAGCCACTCACCATCCTGATTTGGAAAATATATTGCCATTCCTTCATTGTTACAGGGTCAACATCATGGAATTCCCTCTCTAAGAGCACTGTGGATCAACCCACAGCATGTGGACTGCAGTGGTTTAACAAGGCAGCTCATCACCACCTTCTCAAGGGGGCAACTAGAGACTGGCAATAAATGCTGGGCCAGCCAGCAATGCCCACATTCCATGAGTAAAAGAAAAAAATATACCGCAGACCTTGTGGTATAGCATCATCCCCAGTGCTGTTAAGGAGGAAGTTTCAGGATTTTGATCCAGTAGCAATGAAGGAATGGCAATATATTTCCAACTCAAGATGTTCTGTGACTTAGAGTCATAGATTCACGGTGCCCATGTAACTCCTGCCCTTGTCCCTCTAGGTAATAAAGGTTGCAGGCTTGCAAGGTCCTATTCCAGGGGCCTTGGTGAGACATTGCAGTGCATCCTGTACATGGTACACAATGCTGCTACTGATCATAGAATCCCTACAGTGTGGAAACAAGCCCTTCGGCCCAACAAGTCCACACCGAACCTCACAGCATCCCACCCAGACACATCTCCCTACAACCCACCTAATCTACACCTCCCTGAACACTACAGGGTAATTTAGAATGGCCAATCCACCTAACCTGCACATCTTTGGACTGTGGGAGGAAACCGGAGCACCCGGAGGAAACCCACGCAGACACGGGGAGAATGTGCAAACTCCACACAGACAGTTGCCCGAGGCTGGAATCGAACCTGCGTCCCTGGCGCTGTGAGGCAGCAGTGCTAACCACTGTGCCACCGTGCCGTCCCCATCAGTCAATGATGGAGGGAATGAATGCTGAAGCTGCTGGACAGGGTGTCAATCAAGCAGGCTGCTTAGTCTTGAATGGTCACTTGAACTTCTTGAGTGTTGTTACAGCTTCATGCATGCTGGAAAGTGGAGAGTATCCCATCAATCTCCTGACTTGTAGATACTGGACTGGCTCTGGGGGGTTCAGAATTCCTAGGAAGTGTTCAAGTCCTCCAGGATAGCCTGGCTGGGGCATATTACATAGACTACTCTGTTAACGGGTCCTGCAACTTGGCGACTTTTTTGTTGGATTCCAAGAAGTGACTTGAGTGGGTCCCTTTCGTTTGAGGTGCCCTCCCTCATCTTGCAAAGCAAGATTCTCTGAGGGTTTTGATTGGCCCTTCAAACTAATGATCCTTCATTGAATTCATCTCCATGCCAATTAAGGGCTCACCCATGTGAATATTTGACTGGAATCAGATTTCCTTTGGAGAGTATTTTCTGACCCAAACAAAACATACCCATGTTTCCTGCCTCCTGCAAAATACTTTCAAACCAAGGAATGGAATCAAATGTTTATATTTGGGAATAAGGTTGCCAGCTCTGATTAGACATATTCTTGGAGATTTTATCACAAATTCCACTTCCAAATATTGCTCCCAGTCAAAAGCCTTTTCTCCTCATCTGTAATATTTTTCCAACCAATCAAAGAAAGTGCTCGAGACTGAAAGGATCTGATATTGTTTTCAGTGTCGCTTTTATTTGTCTCCTGAACTTTGCTCGAATTAGTGTCCAGGAGATCAAACTTTAATTCTTGGATATTGTAGGGCAATCTAGGTGAGTCAGCAACTCTACTTGAGATTGGGTGTTGGTGGTAGGAAAGAGTGGGACTGAGACAGTAATAAAGGCCTCAATGGAGGAAAGGGCCAGAGCTAGTCCACAGACCACAAGAACTAGCTTGGATTTATCTTTAAATTTTGTCTTTAGTAAATCTAATTCGTAGCATTGTGTATTCATGTGCTATTTAATAGAAAGGAAGTAAAAAATATGCCCACTTAAAAACAGAAAACAAGAAAGCTGAGAACAAAATGCAAAATCAACAAAATTGTGTTAATTAAATTTTCCTAATACAAGGAAAACGTCGAAGCAAAAAAAGAATAATTATACCTAAAGCTTTGCATCCTAATTAGTTATGAATTTTCCTATAGGGACCAATAAGATATATATAGTGTGTCTTTAAAAAAAGATATTTGATTAGAAAATAGAAAGTTAGAAAGTCTATATTTTTTAAAGTCTCTTTAGTGATGGGCTAAAAATAATTCAAATAGATTTCATTGATATGGCAATGCCAAGCAAAGTGACAGCTGGTGTATTTGACTGCAACAAACACATCTTTTTGACTTCTTAAGAATGTCAGAATAGATTTTTTTAAAGTAACAAATGGTACGCCAAGTTTTCACAGGTTATAAAATTATACCAAATTTAAAATCTCTTCGCTTTTACGTACAAATTATTTCAAGGAATCTATTAACTTGTGTTTGAACAATCAAAGAAATGTGTAATGATCACATCTCCAGGTGGCACAGTGGTTGGCACTGCTACTTCACTTCACTGCTACTTCCTACACTAGCGGCAGGGACCTAGGTTCAATTCCAGCCTCGGGCAACTGTCTGTCTGGAGTTTGAATATTTCCTCACTGTCTGTGTGGGTTTCCTCCAGCTGCTCCTGTTTTCTCCCACACTCCAAAGATGTGCAGGTTGGGTGGATTGGCCATGGGAAATATAGGGTAGTGGCAGTGGGGGGGGCGGGGAAGGGGGGGGGGGTTCCTGGGTGGGATGCTGTTAGGGGATCAGTGTGGACTTGATAGGATGAATGGCCTGCTTCCACACTGTAGGGATTCTATGATTCTATGGATTAAAATTAAACTATTCTCCAGCTGTCAACATTTATTGCCCTTGCCTAGTTCTCCCAAATAGTTGTTACTGGGTCTACTGCTTTCTTCGTAGTAGTGCTTTGCTGTTAGTGAAGGGCTACTCTGCCATTACAGAAGAAACTTCTGATCTAACCATGTTATCGTGGGTCTGGGGTCAGATGCTGGACTGAGGTGAAGATGGCAAGGGTCACTTCCTGTTCATGACGAGCTGCCAGAGAAAATGGTAGGGGCGGGTACAATTAGAATGTTTAAAAGACAGTTGGACAGGCACATGGATTGGAAACATTTACAGGGATATGAGCCAAATGCTGGCAAATGGGACTAGTTCAGTTTAAAAAGGTAACCTGGACATGGACAAGTTGGACCGAAGGGCCTGTTTCTGTGCTGTTATGACTCTATAACCTGTTGGCTTTACATGACAACCTTCTAACTTCATGGACATATCAATTCATACAAACATCATATTTCTAGGCTGTTTAAGGTTGAACTCAAATTCTCAAACTGCATGGTACGATATGAATTCATGTCCTCTGATTCTTTAAGAATCAAAATCAAAACAACCTGGGTCGAGGATAACTGAAAACAAAGAATTATTGCAAATGAGTTACTTACGTCATGGCCTGGTAAATTGACTCAACTCCATAGCGCATTGCAAATTCATCCACAATCTCTTGACCGAAGTCTTCAAAGTACACCTTCCATGCTTCATCACCTTTCACTTGTGGGATTTTCACAATACCGTTATATTTTGTTTCAGTTAAGTAAGTGAATAGGCTCTGGAGAAAACAAGTGTGAGATTAAACCTGTGCATTGTATTTCCAGCCTTCTACATAATTATATTCAATACCAGAGACCCACAGAACTATCCTATTCACATTGCCCAAGCACGACTTTCATTTCAACATGCGTTACCAATGTTTCAACTTGTTTTTGAAAAATAAAACTGAACAAATCATCTACGGGAAAGATAGACTGAGGATGGTGATTTGTCTCAGGTGGTCACCACTTATATACAGCATCAGATATTTAATTCCACTGACTGCATTCAAGGTGAGTATCAATTGCTATATATACTGATACTCCACCACCAAAGACAAAGTGTTGCTGTGATATGTTAGCAAAAGTTGTTTTAATGAACAATAAAATGCTATGTAATAATTAGATTAGTATACAAGGCCATTCATCAGCTTTAAGAGTCATCGAAATCTACATCATAGTTAAAGGCCTTTTGGCCCATCATGTCTGTGCTGGTCAAAACAACCCCCTGACTATTCTAATCCCATTTTCTAGCACTTGGCCCATTGCCTTGTGTGCCTGAGCACTGCAAGTGCACACCTAAATATTTCTTAAATGTCATAGGTTTTTTTTTGCCTTGACCACCCTTTCAGGCAGTGAGTTCCAGATTCCCACCACTCTCTGGATGAAAATGTTTCTCCTCAACCTTCTAAACCTCCTACCCTTTATTAAAGCATCTGACAAGCTCCCTCATGGTGGCTTGGTCCAGATCATTAATTCACATGGGATCCAGGGTACGATGGTAATTTGGATAGAAAATTGGTTTGGTTACAGAAGACAGAGGGTAGTTGTGGAGGGCTGTTTTTTCTGATTGCAGGTCTATGACCAGTGGTGTTCCATAAGAATCTGTGCTGGGCGTCTGTTGCTTGTAAATTACATAAACAGTTTGGATGAAAATGTAGGTGGTCTGATTAGTAAATTTGCTAGCCATACAAAAATTGTTGAATGTGAGGCAGGTTGTCAAAGGATACAACAAGATATCGATCTACTGGAAAGTTGGGCAGAAAAACTGCAGATGGCGTTTAATTTGGACAAGTGTGAGGTGATGCATTTTGTGAGGTCAAATGCAAGAGGAAAGTACACAGTAAATGGCAGGATCCTTCAGTGCATTGATATAGAGAGAGATGTTGCGGTGCAAGTTCATAGCTCCCTGAAAATGGTAATACAAGTAGATAAGGTGGTAAAGGAAGCATACAGCATGCTTGCCTTCATCGGGGAAGGCAGTGAGTATAAAAGTTGACAAGTCATGTTGCAGTTGTATAAAACTTTAGTTAGCCATATTTGGAGTGCAGTTTTGGTCACCACTTTATAGGAAGGATGTGGAGTATTTGGAGAGGGTGCGGAGGAGGTTTACCAGGCTATTGCCTGGATTGGAGTGTATTAGCTGTAAGGAGAGGTTGGACACACTTGAACTGTTTTGACTACAGGGTAGAGGCTGAGGGGTGACCAGACAGAAGTATATAAAATTATGAGAGGCATGGATAGGGTAGATAGTCAAAGTCTTTTTTCCAGGGTGGGAATGTCAAATATGAGGGGCCATAGGTTTAAGGTGAGAGGGAGAAGTTTGAAGGAGATGTGTGGGGCAATTTTTTTTTGTGCACAGAGTGTGGAACACGCTGGAACTTGCTGCCAGGGGAGGTAGTAGAAGCAGATACAGTAGTAACATTTCAGAGGCATTTAGACAGACATATGAACAGGCAGAGAATAGAAGAATATAGACCATGTGCAGGCAGATAATTTAGAATGGCATAATAGTTGGTGCTGACATGATGGGCCAAAGGGCCTGTTCTTATGCTGGACTGTTCTATATGTTCTTACTTAAATAAAGCCAACAAGACAGAAAGATAATAGCTCTAGATGAAAAACTTCGGAACAATTGAGTTTTTAAAAAATAAATAAACAAAGTGGGTACCGCTGATATAGTTCAATCAAAGTGAAAAAAAAAACACTGCAGCCTATTTGTAAAATTATCGCCTATTTCAAAAGTTATGAAACATTAAATACAATATTTGTATGATGTTGCCTCACCTCATGTAAACACGTGTACTGCACATGATATGGGGCCACTTTCTCCTCGCCTTTAATTTCAACACTGATTTTCATTCTAATGGCACCAGAAACTGCTGATTTGTCAGTTCGCTTCTCTGAGAAGAAGAAATGCAGCCCATGATTCTGAGATATTCCACACTGCATCAAAATATCTTGGTGCTCATTTAGACGTTAATGATTTATAAATAGCATGAAAGTGATACATTAGTGAAGTCCCTAAAGACTGTTCATCCCTATCTTTCATCCAGATAATAACAGTTACTCATATTGCAATTTGGTGTTTCAAGCTAAGAATTATTTTGTGATTCTCATTTGCATATACTCAAAATTAACTTTAGCAACTGAGAAACAAGGTAGTATGAATCACAGTCAGATCCAGTTGCAGCAAAAATATCGAGGGAAAGGGAGATTGGATTGACAGAAAAGACAGAAATAAATGAAAAGGTGAAAGAAATAAAAATATGTAAACATACATAATTAATAATTTATTAAGTGTAGGAATGAGACACAAAAGTCTCAGCTGTTGCTGTTCTGGGCTGAACAGATGAAATGGCATTAAAGGGACATAAATGTCATTATTAAAAGGGTCCTTGTACTGTTAAATACTGGCCTTAACATATGTAGTCAGTTTACATGGCAATTAATGGGCAAACAAATGCAGCATCTTCTTTTGCATTTGATTTGACAGTGAATTCACTCTTTTTAACCCATGTTCCTTCTTAGTTCTTTCCATGGTTACTTCTCAATCCTGCAGTCTCATTGACTGAAGAAAGACATGATTGCTTGCCCTGTTCACTCAGATCCCATACGTCCTGTTTCCTCACCATCAAATGCTCACGTTATCAATAACTTTCTGGCCAATTTCTTCTTTGAACTGAAGAGCCCTGCTGTAACACATTCTGACCCAATACTTAATGAAATGCAGCCAACTAACTTTTAACTCCAGCCATTTTTTTCTTATCATTAATTTCTGAGCCACAGACTGCCATTACAAAACCTAAATTATTTTCTCCTTACATTTTATAGACGTTCTCCAATTAATTGCAAAGACTTTTTTTCTTTTAACAATGTTACACCTCACTTGTCCTGATTCTAATTTTGTATTTGTTAATTGTTATTTAATTGGCCCAAGCACATGTCTTCTAACTCTGAATATTCTTGCAATTCCTCCCCCAAATCTGGATTTTAATTAACTGAACAGCCTTCACACTGATCCAAAGGCTACACTCTTCCATGCTGGATCCAAGTTAGAGCCAATACATCCTGTCAACTTTTGATGAATTCCCACTTCTATACTTCAGAGGCTATTCTGGGTAAATATCTGTTTCTTGTTTTCTTTCAAGTCTTGCAGCCAGTTTTGCTTCTCACTCACTACTCTCCACTGTGTTCTCATTTCTAGAAGCACTGCCCAAATATCTGACACCAAAATATCAAATTCCAGCTTCTTTGGGGACCTAGTGCCTGGAACACCAGGAGAAATTCTACCTTTTACCAACCAGTGACATTGACCAAACGTTTAGAGATTCACAATCGAACAGTAAAATACTTTGCAAACTTGTGTCTCTCTCAAAGCCAGCTTCCCATTATCCACGCTCCATAAGCTGTTGCCCATGTCTAAACTCACAGCAAATCCCATCCACTCATTTCCTGAATCCTCACTGATCAAAATTGGTTCTGATCTGGCTATTCCACGATTTTAAATTCTCACTGTTGTTTTGTCATCCCTCCATGGCCTCACTTTCTCAATATCTTTAACAGTTTCAATCGTACGAGATCTGTAAGACCCTACACTGCTGACCTTTTATGCTTCTTTGATATTAATCACTCCACATTGGCAGCCTTGCCTTCAGCTTGTTAGGCCCTGAGTCCTGGAATTCTCTCCATTAATTTCTCTTCTTTGCTAATTGTTTATCTACCTGTAAGATACACCTTAAAACCTACCTCTTTGACCTAGCCAATCTCCTTGTGTGGCTACAGTGCAAAGCACCTTGGGATGTTTTCCTGTACTGATTCAAGTTGTTGTTGATGTCAGTATAAACAGCTGATAGCCAAAGTGGATGATGCATGGAAAGCAGCCCTAATTAATTAGCATGATTTACAATAATTAACTTCGTTCTTATATCAACTCTGTGCATAAGTAAACACAGTATCACTCACCCCACTTCCTAAAGCAGCCATGCTATCTGAAATCAGAGAATAGTAGGAACTGCAGATGCTGGAGAATCTGAGATAACAAGGTGTAGAGCTGGATGAACACAGCAGGCCAAGCAGCATCAGAGGAGCAGGAAAGCTGATGTTTCAGGCCTAGACCCTTCTTCAGAATTAGACCCTTTCTTCTTTCTGAAGAAGGGTCTAGGCCCGAAACGTCAGTTTTCCTGCTTCTCTGATGGTGCTTGGCCTGCTGTGTTCATCCAGCTCTACACCTTGTTGTCTCCATGCTATCTGAAATGATTGGTTTAGTGCCAAATTAGGAAACATTATATTGCAACCCAAAGCTTAGTGGCACTTAGCTAAACTCATTTCACATGAGATCCTTACAGCTGGAAGAATCAGTTACCTAAGAAAATAGTGTTTCATTTGAATCCAAATGCCTTCTTTTTGTTCACTCGTGGAATGTGGGAAATGGGTGTCATTGATTGCTTATTGTCTGTCCACTGTTGCCTTTGGTGGTGATGAGCTGCTTTCTTGAACAGCATGCGGACTGTACTAGTTTCAAGGTAGCAGCTCACCACCACTCTCAACGGCAAATGGGGATGGATGTTAAACGTTGACTCAGCCAGCCATCAGAGAAGAAAAGGTTAAAATACCAGCCCAGCACCCACCTCGTTCCAATCCCTTTCACATGCACCATTACTGCTAAGAGTTCTACGTGCAATGTCCGTTCCTAAAAATACCACTAACGATTATTGTGTTCAAATTGTCATTTGCTGGATAAAATCACAAGTTTCATCAAACAACAGAAAGATCAATCTAAGGAACAGCAAAGATGAATGAGATAAATTGCCTCCCAGTATAATTGAACAGTTGCAGCAAGCAATTGGTTTGCAACTGTTGACTGATTGTAGAACTTGATACAAACACAGTTAGCACTTCTCATAGGAAAATCGTAATTATTTTTAAATAATGAGTGGCGATCCAGTTTATCATAAGTTCACTTAAAAAGTTGTTTAACATTAAACCGGAGCTGGGGACTGAGGTGTTCAGAAAATGTGTTTACAGAGGATGAGATTTCTCCCCTATATGTGGGCAACAATTACTTCACATCTCGACCAACAACAGAATATTAACCTTGTATCTAAAGTGGCAGCTGCTAATGATGTTCAAGATGGCAAGTAGGAACAACACACGGATAAAGCCAATACTGGTTTGCACCAGTGTGATCCAAATATATACAGTGCATGCAATTACAATTTCCTCTAGGGTTTGATTGTCATAGAAAGCAAACGTAAGTCAATAACAAAGATATCGTAAGTGCTGCTTTATATTTTATACCTATTGTAAAAAGGACTGAAAGGCAATTAATGAAAGAAAATATAAAAAGCTTTGTTGAGGTAATTATGTCAGTGACAGTAGAATGGTATAGCTTTGTTCAGAGCAGAATGGAACTGAATTTTAAATTTTCAGAAAGAGTAGAGACCTATCATGTGACAATAGATAAGAAAAGATCATTGTTTGGTATACCTGTGCAGCTAGTACAAATTGTAGAAGAAAAGTTAGTGACCGATTAACCTGGGGTGATAGGTTAAAGCAGATTTCCTTTATTAAATTAATTCCTCCAGACGGTCCTGTCGTAAAGCGATTCTAACTAAACATCCCAACCTGAGATGCCTCTTACAGAGAGCTCTGATTCAATCTGCTCCCTGTGGCATCAATGTGCCTGACTGAATAAGCGTGCAGCTGATAAGGCAGACAGAGGGGGACTCCTTTCCTTTCTTTATTCTATCATGGGTTGAGAGTGTTATTGGTGAGCATTGCCAGCATTTATTATCCATGAACTGAGCAGCTTGCTACACCACTTAGGAAGACAGTTATGAATCAACTACAAGGCTATGGGCCTGCAAACACATATAGGCCAGACCATGCAAGAATGGCAGATTTCTTTGTCCAAAAGATATTCATGAACCAGGTGTGTCTGTGCAACAATGATAGTTTCATGGTTACCATTCACTAAGATTAGGCCCAGGTTTGATTCCATCCTTGGGTAACTGTGTGGAGTTTGCACATTCTCCCCGTGTCTGCATGAGTTTTCACTGGGTGCTCCCACAGTCCAAAGATGTGCAGGTTAGGTGGATTGGCCAGGGTAAATTGCCCCGCAGTGTCTAGGGATGTGCAGGCTAGGTGAATCAGCCATGGTAAAAGTGGGGTTACGGGGATAGGATAGGGGATTGGGTCTGGGTGGAATGCTCTTCAGAGGGTTGATGCAGGATTCAATGGGCCAAATAGCCTCTTTCTACATTGTAGGGATTTTCTGATTCTTATAACTTGAATTCACATTCCAATAGCTCTCATGGCCAGATCTGAACCCATGTCTCCAGAGCACAGGGCTGGAGCTCTGAACAACATTGCCTCAAAGCCACTCAGAGGTTCTGCATGTGCCAGTTGGTGTGCCAATGCAATGGCTTCTGCTTTTGGAAGGCGTTATTACTGTCATGGATCTTGGCGTCTGCGGAGCAGAGAAAATAATGAGAGAGAATGCTGCCCCCAAATTGCTGGTACACGAATGTTACCACAATACCACCACCTCCCATCGTGTCTTTTATTTGAATTACACCTTTAAAAATTAGCTCTCAGTTTGTGCCCCATCCACCTCATCCTCTCTATGGTTCCCAGTACCTGACTGCTCATCTTTAGGTTCATCCATCTGAATGTGAAAGATGCCAGTGAGGATCAGGTCACCCAATGGGTGCTATCAGGGAATCTGGTTGGTAAGCCACACAGTGAGGGTAGGCTGTCTTATGGCATCTCTTTTCCTTGACCTGTAAATCAAGCACTGGAATATCTTCACTGCTGAATGAGTGAAATATTTCTCGTAATGCCATTTCCTTGTTAATTTCGGGTGAATAAACATTAATATAGATATGCTGAAAACAACAAATGCTGGAGATCACAGTGGGTCAGACAGCATCCATGGAGGGACAGCAAGCTAACGTTTTGAATCTAGATGCCTCTTCATCAAAGTTCATCAGAGCTCTGATGAAGAATCAACCACACTCGAAACGTTAGATTGCTCTCTCTCCATGGATGCTGTCTGACCCGCTGTGATCTCCAGCATTTGCTGTCTTCAGTACAGATTCCAGCATCTGCAGTAATTTGCTCCTACGTTAATACAGGTATGCTGTGATTGTCCAGCTGGGGGTTTTCAGATATTTATTCCACAACATTTGCTAAAGGAAAATTGGGAGCATCTACAATTTAGATTAACGGGTATCAACAATTCTTAACTGCTGTAATGTAGCTCTCTGCAGCTTGCAGGTTTGTATGAAAATGTGAAAATTACTGTAATTACTCTCTGATTTTGATGCTTGTAGTTGACATAAACAAATGCAGACATCAGAAAGTTTTTCCAAATGCAAGAATGATCAATGAACAGGATGAACAGAGCGGTCGATGCAGAAATTTAGAAATGATTAAGAGTCAGTTGGATACGGGTACAGGATGGAATTTCAAGTCAGTCTGGGTAGCTGAACTGTGATAGGCTAAATGAATTTTCTTGTTTTTATTATGGTTTGTTGTGACTTACTTTCAAATTTTTTATTGCTTGACCTTACATCCTACTTCAGATATTGCATAGATCTGTCAAATTATATAAAGTCATCTGGGTTCTCAAAACACTTTTTGCATAAAATATGGATATACTGATGCATGCAAAAGTGCAAAAGCACTGGTATATGACAAAAAAACCTCCAGTTCATCCTCAGTCTTGCCTTAGTCCAGATTTGATGCATGAAAGAGTTCTATTTGAAATGCCAAGCAAATTAAAAAGATTTGCAAATTGTTCCAATTTGGTCTACGCCAGTTCTGGATGGGCAGTTTAAGAAAACTTGTTAAGTTTTATTTCATTCCAGCAGATGTGCATACAGTTGGAGATTGCCACCATAATAAAGTTACAATTGCTTTTTATTGTGGAGTAATGACAAATTCACTGAAGGTGAACGGCTAAGAAATTAATTTACAGCCTATAGTCACAAAAATGCTAAAAAGCTTTTACGTAGATGTAATAAAATTCTGATAGTACAACTAAAATAAATTGAAAATTTTAACATGACACGGATATCTGAACTGCAAGACTCTAATCTGTGGGAGGAGTTCAGAAAATATTCTTAGCCGAGGGAATAAACAAAATTAGATTATAGCCTTTTGCTAACTCCATCTAAGTTAGATAGCGAAATATTAAATTGCATTCCTCCTCAGAGTTGAAAGATATCCTGTAATGTAACAGGAATGTTAAATTACACACAGAATAATGTGTCTTGTACAACTGCAGACATAAATCCGAAGAGTAGAATATAAAGGCTTGAGAGCTTAAAGAAGATGTAGGACCATATATGGACATAGCCAGGATTGTTACCCCATGTGTAACTATGTTTGATGTCAAGAGAAGGAATAAATGCAGGAGGTAGGCAGGAAACAAATCTTTGCTAAGTTGAAAGTATAGAATTTTAAATATCACAGATGCATGTGATGGTTGTTGGCTGTGCATGTACATTGTAACCTGATTGAAAGCAGAAAAGATAAAAAGAGACTATTTCAACAACATAAACATTGGAAAAGCTACCATCTAGCTCAAACTGACATGCATGCGCCCCCAAAGTTTAATCTGTGTCACCTTCAATTTTCAATGGTGACCCATGCAATAATATGAACATAAAACTATCAAACTGGATAGAGTGAAGGATGGTGAATAGTTTGGATTAATTTGTCAAGGAATATTTCCATTAAATAGATTGAAATAGACTGTAAATTAAGTACCATTGAAGTCAAACTGAATACCTTATGCAGTGCATTATTGTTTTGATTCATTAATTTTACAATCCACTCGAGTTTCCCCAAACTGGTAAGGGTACGTAAAGTTGAACACACCCACATTCAGTGTTTAAGTTTTCACGAAGAACAGTGGGCAAAAATAATTAACTGTGACCCAACTTTGTTCCAATTTGATGTTTTAATATATTAGTGTGAATATAGTGCTTTTAATTTTTTATTTTTAGTATTCATTTAGTGAACATGGGCATCACTGGCTGGGCAAACATTTATTGCCCATCCATAGTTGGCCTTGAGAAGGTGGGGGTGAGCTGCTTTATTAAACCAATGCAGTCCATTTGTTTTAGGTAGACCCACAGTTCCATTAGGGAAGGAGTTTCAGCATTTTGATTCAGCGACAATGAAGGAAGCCAGGATGGTAAGTGGCTCGGAGGCTAATTTACAGATGGTGGTGTTCTCATGTATTGACCTTTTAGGCGGCTGTGGTTGTAGTAGGAAGGTGCTGTCTAAGGAACCGTGATAAATTTCTGGAGCTGCGTCGTGTCAATAAAGTGGGCTGCTTTGTCCTGGATAGTGTCAAGCTTCTTGAGTGTTAGTGGAACTGCACTAATCCAAGCATGGGCAGAATATTCCAACACACTCCTGATTTGAGCCTTGTAGATGGTGGACAGGCTTTGGGGAGTCAGGAAGTGAGTTACTCACCACAGTGTTCCCAGTCTCTGACCTACTCTTGTAGCCACCGTGCTTACGGGGTGAGTCCAGCTAAGTTTCTGGTCAATGATAACCCCCAGAATGTTTATAGTGGGGGATTCAGCAATGGTAATGCCATTAAAAACCATGGGGTGATGTTTAGAATTTCTCTTGTTGGAAATGGCCATGGTCTAGGACTTGTGTGGCACAAATGTAACTACAGTCTGTGGCATAAAGTAGCTAATGTAGGGATAAGAGAAAAAGGAAAACAGAAAAAAACAGAAATATAAGGAGTCTAAAATCATATAAACTTAAGTGGGGTTAATCAGAAAATTAGTGCCGAACTATTTAGGAATAAAATCCAGAAGACGTTTTTCCATCAAATATTGGGAATCTGGAGCCCTCACCCAAAAGGTTGTAGTCAATTAAAATTTTTAAGACAGATAACTTTTTTTATTGTTGGGAATGGGTAATAAAGGATAATGAACAAACAAATGCAGTTAAATGAAGTTCAAGTACAGACTAGCCATGACCTATTAGATTAATGGAATACGCTCAAGGGGCTAATTGTGTTATTCCATTCAACCATGACTGTAGAAGTCAAAAAGTCACTGTAGTACTTTACAAGTAGGCATCAATAAATAATCACGTACCTAAGTTGTACCAGACATCCATCTCACCGCTCAGTGTTCGTACTTCAATAATTGTTTGTCCGAGGAAATCATCTGATTCTTTCTTGAAATGCTGCTTAACCCGAGACTTAATATCGTCATCTTCATCCCAAACTCTAACTTTTATTCTATCAGTGGAATTGTGGCATTCACTGTCCATAAATAAAACAATAAAGATTAAAATCATACTATGGCATTGACCTCATTAGAGATGCTCTCCTTCTTATTTCAGTTACTAAAGAGAAATTTATAAGCGAAGTAGAGATAACACAGTATGGAGCTGGAGGAACACAGCAAGCCAGGCAGCATCAGAGGAGCAGGAAAGTTGACATTTCGGGTCAGGACCCTTCTTCAGAGAAAACATTTTTAACAACAATAGGAAATGATTTGTTGGACTATAAATAAAACTTTCACAAGAGCAATTAAGATATGTTATCCATTTATTACACAATATTTATTTTTGTTTAGCCGCATGTTATGGCTTGGAAAACATATTTCCTCTTCCATTGCAATTTTTCTTGAACAATTATGCTACATAAAGACAAATGAGACATCAAATAAAACAATGCCAATGGTAAAGATTGAGCGTTGGAGTTAGTTAGATTCTGCTGCCGTATGTGATCAGAATAAATCTAGGTCTGTAGTGTTCTTCTGCAACATGAGCTATAAAGGTGATGAAAATATAGGTAATTTTTACAGTAATTAAGCATAAATAAAGCAAATTTCAGTCAAAACAAAGTAAATATAAGAAATTGGATTCTTTCACATTTCCCACCACTATTCAAATATTACAGGAATTAATTCATTCAGGAAAAACAACTGCAAGAAACAAATTAGATGTGGCTGACTGGAAACACAAAATTAATGGTTAATCTGTAGTTTCTGTAACATGAGGCTCAACACTTCAATAAGTATATTCAGCAGGATACAAATAAAAAAAATCAAACTAGCAACAGCTATTGCCCATCTCCAGCTAATTAATGACATTTTAACTGAAGTTTACTCAATCCAGTAAGTATCTCAGAGGGTTACTGAAATTACTTATAGTGCACAATAATACCCTTAGCCTTCACTTTTAATTTAATATAACAGAGTTACAGTCACCTTTAGAATTCTCTGGGTAGTTCTGTATCCTCAAACACAATCATACACATGCAAAATTGAGATGCATAAAGCAGACATTTCCACTACAGCATTAACAATCTCGGTTAGCACAGAACACAATATTCATCAATTTGGCTATTGAATATTCTGAGGTTCATTGAGCTCAGCACTGTTTTATTTACAGAGATTAAATCATTATTCATCAATTGCAACTGAAAATATGATGGAATATTGAATAAAGTAGCACTGAACATTTAATAAGTTCAGATTTACTTTGCAAATATGGTTTCTCTCATCTGTCTCAAGTGATTCAGTTTGCATAATGCACACTTGTCATCAGTAGACTACACAAAAGCAACAACTGTAATCATATGAAAACAGAAACAGAAAAAGCAGGAATAGATAAAAAGTAATGACAAGTTATTTAATGAACTTTGTAAATTAGTGGGAAAAAAAATGGAAGACTAAGGAATGACTTGCTGAGATTTTGCTTGCAATAAATTGCACACAATACTCCTCCACAGAATCAGTAGTTTCTCTCTGAACTGATAGACATGGCTCCGAATAACCAGAACAGCCTTAACTCACTGCACTTGCTTACTCAAGCACTATTAAAGATGGCTTTAACATTAAGGCTGATGCATTCAGGAGGAAGTAACCACTTAACAGTATGGAAGTGATAAATACTGAACAATTTCTTTGGTGCTGACAAGTTAATTCTATGAATGTGGGAACTCATTCTTTCAGAGGGTTTTAGAGAACTAAGTTTTAAAGTAATATTTTCTACTGTTGTCTCTGCTTTAGTTCTATCTGCCTTTCTCAATCTTTATTTCTGCACAGAACTTAAACCTAATTCATCACTTCTGCTCTATTACACTGTGACGTGGATATCAATAGGGTTGAGCAGAAGTGGTGGAGTGGAATCTCTGACTGCAAACCCACGTTTTAACTTCATAGCATTGTGCCATTGGTCACTGACATGTTTCCTGGCTGGACGTCAAAGTTGATCTCAGACTTTGAGTGCAATAGGATCTGGAGCACTCTAGAGGAGGTGATGGAAGCAGGCAGCAGACGGAGGCGCTTGCAGGATGGAGTTTAATTGATGCCACAGGAGACTGGATGGGACATGGGGAAGCATCACTGTGTTAAGTAGGTAAGCTAGATAGTAACATGGAAAGCAAGAGTTGGGATAAGGGATGGACATTAAAAGCCCCTGAGCGGGCTAAATTGTTCATTAAAACATTTTAATTGTTAACCATGTTAAAGAGATAGTAGGAACTGCCGATGCTGGAGAATCTGAGACAACAAGGTGTAAAGCTGGATGAACACAGCAGGCCAAGCAGCATCAGAGGAGCAGGAAGGCTGACGTTTCGGGTCTAGACCCTTCTTCATTTCTTAAGTCTGCTCATCTCTAACCAATATATCTCAATAAAACCTAGTATAAAGAGCTTCAGGTTTGCACTAACCAATGTGTGGGGAAAAAAAAGCAATGGGTGTCAAAGGACATAACTCCACCTTTGAAGGAGTGGGGCACCTGAAGAAGAGGTGGGGTGTGGTCCAAATCCCTTGGTCAGAAGGCTGGTTAACAATTAAGAGACAACAAGGTGTAGAGCTGGATGAACACAGCAGGCCAAAGAAACTTAGTACAAAGAAGATTGTGAATACTGCACCATTTGAAATTTTCAAGACTAAGATCAATAGGCTTTTATTCTCTATGAAAGAATGAAAGAATGGAAACATCACTGAGCCACAGATCAGTCATTATCTAATTGATGGAATAGAACAGCCTGGAGTAGCTGAATAGCCTACTCCAGTGCTTATGCCGCTTCAGACTAAATCCCCTGTTTATGATGTGAGTTTTAATTCTCTCCAACCTCCTTTCAATTTTAATCCTCTGTGGCAAATCACTGACACTTTCTTGAATTAATGTAAGCATCTGTAAGAGATGACCATGTACGTGGGGAGATTTGGCATTAGAGGCTACAAATCGGTCCAGGCAAAGTTATCACATGAACTGCCAACAAGTCAGGATTAAATTCTGTACTGTGCCTTGTCAATGGGGGCACTAATCTGCACATTTTATATCAGACAGCATCTCAGCTAAAACAGAAGAAAGGAATTTAATATCATTGTACTAAGTGGGATATGGAAAACATTTCAAAAATCTGTATGGCTATTTTTAACAGCTAGAGTACAAGCTGTAAATATTGAACTGCAATATTCAAGAGCAATATAATTAATGCATGCAGATATTATTCCTGTTTCAAATTTCTAATTTTAAATATGTCAATTTTCGAATCACAATTTCAATCAGGCACTTTTGTGACGGCAGTATTTTAAATTGAGAGCAGACTGTGTCTGCTCAGATCAAGCCCTGGCAGATCAGTATACCACCTTCTTAAGCTTTTATCCTTTAAATATTACATCTTTATTTGGTGGCGAAGGTAGTGTTGTTGGCCATATTTCTTAAGTCTGCTCATCTCTAACCAATATATCTCAATAAAAAGAACAGATTTCAATGAAACTTAGTACAAAGGCAGCGCCAAAGGAAAATCTGATTCCTTTTCCTCAATGAGATGGAAGCTGTTTCTAAAAATATTTATTGTTCTACAGCATCGTAGTTTGAGAGCAGTAACCAGGAAGTAGAAAGCCTAAACAAGGAGCTGTGTAATTGTAGGAATGGTAACACAGCTTTGCCGAGGCATAAGCTTTAATGAGTACATTTTTCATCTCGTGTAAAGTGTGATTTTCATAGGATTAATATAAAATGTTGAGATGACCCCAAAAAAGTGAAGCCTTGTCCAAAATTACACAAATTCTTTCCCCTAAGTAACATCATTTCCCAAATATAGCCAGAGCAGTTTTGTGACGGAGAGAAGAGAAAGACAGTCTAAAACATGTCGTAAAACCAGGTCTGAAGAAACACCAACAATTAGATGTGACATCAGATTGGAATACAATGAGTGCTGTAGATCATAATCTTGGAATAAAATCCTGAAATCCAATTCCTAACTGAATACCAAAGTTGAATACCGTACAATTTTTTAAAAAAATCCTATCTGCTAAAGGAACTTGTCCCTTGCTACACCATCACTATCGCTTCCAATTAAAGTAGGGGCTTGTCTGTGCATATCTGATAGAAAAATGGTATTTAAGGTTTGAGGCTACTCTTCTAGGTCAATCTAATTCACTGGATACATATTGATGATGAGCATGGGTGTGTGGAAGTTTGTTAAGAAGCACATCAAAGCCATCACATAAAAATACTATCATTACAGGGGGAAGAAAAGTGACTTTTCTCAGAATGGTTCAAATGTGTATTTTGCAAATTGGCTCCATTTTGTGTCAAGCTATAGGTGTGAAGGCATTTGTATATTTTGAGCACATCCAGCAGTGAACAGTTAATAGATTATAATTAGTTCTAAATATGTGGCTCAGTTAGTTCAGAATGGAAGGAGTACTGCTGGTTTTGTTTTTGTTCTGTTCCTTTCACATCAGGGAGGAATACTTGGCATTAGAGCTAATTAAAGTCAAGAATCCGACTATAAGAATGGAGGAGGCTTATGTGGCTCACCAGACACCAGCTGGACATCCCACTGTTAACCATTCATGCAAAACTCCCAGCAAATGACAGCCTTATGCTATGCACATTCTAATGTTCAAGTCATATTCACCAGGAGTTCTAAATCTCAAATTGACTTTAACCTATGCATGAGTGAAATGTCTGTTTTTAACAAACAAAGGCTTATTAACTTTATTTTACAAGATAATTGTGAGTGAGGAAACTATCAAAATGCAACTAAAGGGAAATGCTCCACAAGTCCCTCTCATCCTGCAGCATCCATTTATTTATGAAATGATACCAGGTTTTCCTCAATTATTCTATATCTTTTTAATCAACCTGTTCAGACAGGCTAGAACACATCTCTGTAGGGCTTGAACCCAGACCTTCTGGCCCAGAGGTAGGGACGCTACTACTGCACCACGTAAACCCTCCCTCAACTATTCTGTCCAGAAGGTTATTCCTGGTGTTGAACTAGTTCCTTATTATACATGTTTTCCATCTGAGAAATGGGTACCATAACGACCACATATTCCCTTCACCCACCCACAAACCCCACCTCCCCTCCCCACCTTTCTGTCATTCCTTATGACTCAAGCCTTTAAAGATCAGGAAACTGCATTATGACTCTTTATATTGCCTCCATTTCCCTACATGCCTTGACTCAGGAGTCATACACTGTACAAAAGAATAAATCCTGGAAGTTTATTTTACCCCCTTGCAACTCCCAAGGAAGTAACAAGGATGGAATGTGAGATATTCTCATTCTTCCTGGTCCAGTGCCAACCATGTATTGCATTTATCCATTTAGCCACTTATGAAGCTTATTGTAAAAGTTTTTATTGAATTTGATCCAGTGAACTAATAAAACTTCAAGGACAAAGATTTAAACGTAAAGCCTGAATGTTAGATATAGATTAATGTTCACATAGCACAAGGGTATGGAGACTGATGTTTCTGGCTCCAACGTCCTCTGTGCATTTGTGTTAAGGGGTGTTGGGGACAAGGAATAAAAGCTGCATTTTCCACAGATATTTTAGCCCTTTTGCAAAATATACACATTTCTGGGGTTCAAACAGGCGGAAAAAATGCTGTGCTATGAATGTGATGTGTTGAAATGCTCTCTTTTGTCTACACACAAACAGTGCTTTCAGTTGTATGCAAGCTCCCATTTGATTATGGTTGGAACAATAGCTAAGCAGAGATTTGGTTTGGAATTTAAAATCTCTGATCCCGCCAATGTACAAATATGTGCATATCCCAGACTAATATTTTCTACTGACCTACATTGATGCTTCAAATACTAAAGGATTCAGGGATTTGATTCTAGCTATTGTTGCCATAGCTATTAATCTCAGCACGTGAACCAAATTTAGAGTAGGAAATAAGAACTGTATTGTGTTGTACCTCCACAGTAAAACCAGAGGCAGAATTTTATAATTGCTGAGCAAGTACAAACAATGGCCAGGAAGCTGGGAAGAAGCACATTATGGCTGTCCCTAGGATCTATGGCTGCAACTCTCAGGGGATAAGCAACTATCTAGTCAGCCTGCTTGCAGGACTGCTGGCCAATCAGAGGGGCTGGCACAGAGACTATGAGGGCCCATTGGGAGTGGGAGAGTATGGGTTGGCATTTCAGTATGAGAGGCCATTGAATGTGGATGGATGCATGAGTTAAACCTGGAACTGTTGGGAATTAACTCTGGATAAGTTAAGTAATCTCTCTTGGCCTGTTGTCTTCTGCTGTACTGTCAATGCGATCAAACATGTTTTCTCAAGCTGCAATGTGAAATCCTAGAGCTATGCGCTTGGGCGTGTGTGGCTTCAACAGGCGTGTGAGGGGGCACAAATTTATTGAACACTTCAGAGTCATCACAACTCCCCAACTCCCAACCCACTGCCCACGACACCCCCACTGCAAGCCAGGTCCATGACTGCCTCATTCTAGATCTCTTATAGTTATTAGATTTCAGTCGTACAAGATTTCTATTGTGGCTCATTTTGTTTCTTTTATAAGTATATGAATAAGAAAGGTTTGGAGGGATATGGGTCAGGCGCAAGAAGATGGGACTAGTTTAGTTTGGGATTATGGTTGGCATGGACTAGTTGGACTAGTTGGACCGAAGGTGTCTGTTTCCATGTTGTATGATTCTACCGCTTCACAAAATGACCCCGTGCTACAGTAGCTTATACCTCTCTCCTTTCATTAACGCTTCATGATCAGCTCATCCCTTTCATGCTCATGTCATTCTGTCACTGCGTTCATGGCATTGGCTCTCGATTCTTTGGGAGATTGCCCCCTCCCATAACAGAGAGGGGGAAGCAGGATGGATACCTGCTTGACAAACATTCAGATAAAAGGCAGAGCCTGAAAATGGTTTGGGTCTCTACACAGTGATGGCGTAGCCACTTGAGCAAGTTCTGCGTCTCCCTTGGGTACAAGTCAAATACAGAAGTTCAAAGAATTCTTAAATATATTTTCCAATTGATTATATTCACAGACAGGAAATTGTTGACACTTTTAACTTTGCACCAGATCGTTCAACGAAACAGATTCCTTTCGACTTGATGTACATGGTATTAAGATTTACAAAAAACTGCTTGAGTAACACAACTTGAGCATGACTTTTGTTAATTTTTACACTTTATTAGAAAATTACAAGAAATGATTAAGGGTTAATCTATATGGATACTTGTAAGAAAAATGTCAGAGGAATCTCACAAATATATAGATTAGAAAATGATCTTATAAAGGTAACAGAACACATTGCAAACAAATGCAGTTATACTCCTGTACTTACAAGTGAAACTTTTCATCCCAGATTGGATTGAGATTGCCAAAAATGGTTTTTGTTCTCCTCTTGGTTTTCCCCACTTGCACTGTGACATACGGATCACTTGATCCTGTCTTGTCCTTCGCTTGTAAACCCTGAGCACAAAGCACTGTATGTACAAAGGAAAACTTACAACACTGAACAAATAACTTCAGTCCAACATATTAACCTTTTGCACATGCCTAATAGTTTTTTCACTGATCAATAATTCTTGCAAAACATGTATATGATTAATTAGGAGAAGGTTACTGGTCTGGCACTCCCATTGGAACTTAGACCTGAGACAGGAATACAACACTGTTCCACCAATCCTCTGACCTGTGCCTTCTGAATTCAGCCTCAGTGAATTTACACCAAAAAGCATGTTTGCTAACTGCGTTACCTGTTTCACTACATGTCAAGGCCTTTGAAGTTGTTCCTGAGAGATGTAATCAAGGATGCACTTTACCAAACGTTTGGAGGGCTGGTAAAATGGGAGAAGGAGTCAGGAGGAAGCCACAGCAAGCAGATTGGACCCGTCCTTGCTGGAATTCAGAAGAATGACAGGTGACCTTACTGAAACATACAAGATTCTTAAAGCACTTGACAGGGTAGATGTAGAAAGGCTGTTTCCCCTTCAGACAGTGCAGGACCAACGGGGGGTCACCAATTTAAGACAGAAGCGAGGGTAGAGAAACTGTGGAGTTTTTTTTAAACCACAGAGGGCTTTCGAGGCTGGGTTGTTAAGTATATTCAAGGCTTAGATAGACAGATTATTAATTAATAAGGGAATCAAAGATGGCAAGGAAAAGGCAGGCATTGTGGGGTAGAACATATCTGATGGGCTGAATGGCCTACGTCTGTTCCTACGTCTTGCTGTCTTCCAACCACCATGCATCACACCAGTGGTACAACCAACAGCAGTATGGGCAATTCTGCAGATTCACAGTGCACTTAGCTTCCTCCCCTCCTTTATCATAATGCATGTGTCCCTTGGCAGCAATGAGAATCCCTGTCACCTCCTAACCTCACTTCCCAAGAAAGGAGCCATCCTAATCACCAGGGTCTGCTTGTCTGACCCCAGCACAGAAAGAAAGAGATCTCATCGCTTCCTCGGCATAGAGGAGTCCTCTCTTTAGTCCTTCAGCCTCAGCAATGGCCACACCCTCCTGAGGCTGCACTGCTTTAAGGCCTCTGGGCTATCCACTCTGGGAGGAGCCCCCCCAATTCCCAGTGGGTGCCAGTGGTAACCTCTTAATTGGGCACCGCTGGTGAAATGCCACCTAGGAACCCACAGTCCGCCAGTGAGGGGTTGTGTCCTGTTTTCAGCCTCGTCAGAGATGCTTCTTTCTTGGTGGAACAATTCAACCCATAACGGGAGGGGAATCTTCCATCCTGACTAGCTCTGGGCTGCCACATGACATCTTGGCCCTTGCCTGCCCTCTGAAATGGACCTAGCAAGGCCAAAAGCCTTAATGTCAATGCGAGGAATGGGGGAAAACAAACGTTAGCTTTGTCAGCGACTCTCCCACCTTCCATCAAATCATTAAACCCCTCTTTCCTTCCTCTTCCCCACCCCCACTGACAATTTCCCTACCGTCTTTCCAAACGCAGTATTCCTCCTTCCGTCACCTACGTTTTTAACAGAATTTTTTTAAGAAAAATGTAATTTTTGCTGTAAAATTCTTTATGAAGTCGCGGGGTCGGACAGCACTGGGAAAGGCCCTGTGGCCTATCGAGTCTGCGCTGGTCAAAAACAAGCAGTCCCATTTTCCATCACTTGGCCCACAGCCTGAAGGGCGCTATATAAATTTACCTCCTCCCTGATTTAACTTGACATTCCCCCTCTGCCCCGTTGGGCTGGCCTCCAGTGCTACGGGAATCTGCATTTCTGATGGGCGCCCACACTCCCCTTTGGGTGCGCATGTTTCTACTGCCAATGATCTTTCTATCCATTTGAGGGAACTGTGACCAGGGTCTCTATCTTTGCCCTTTGAAGCTGCAAAGTGATGGGTTTAAGCAACTGTGCTGTTTAACAGGATCTCTCCTCGGAAAGAGAGAATTTAAAATTTTACAGCACCTGTTGCAACCTCAACACCTTGAGGCGCTTCTAGGTGAATGAGGCGTTTAAAATAGTCATGGTGGCAGCCAATTTATCCAGCTAATGGTCCACTTTATTTGTTGTGAAATTGGGCAAGGGACCAACAACGGCCCTGGAACACCACAGAAAACCCCCTTTGCTCTTCCAGTATTGGCTGTGTATTTTGAGAACGCACTGTGACAGCACAGTTGGGGCCCTGCCTTGAAGGCCTCTGAAGTGCAGAGTTGTGCCCTGGGCTGGTTCCAAAAACTTGGGGCTGCCCAAAATTCTGCAGCTCGTGTCCAAACTTGCAGAGAGTCCCTGACCTGTGCAGGCTGCCATTTTGCCATCATCTCATAGGAACTAGGAGTGGGATTAGGCAGTTCAGCCATTTTAGCCCACTCCGCCATTTAATATGATGATGGCTGATCTTCATCCTGGTCTCAACTGCACTTTTCTGCCTGCTCCCCATAGCCCTTTATCCGTTTTTCATCAGAAACACATCTCTTTCTTTCTTGAATGCGTTGACTGATTCTGCCTCCACTGCATTCTAGGGCAGTGAGCTCCACAATCTCAGTTTTAAGATTCCCATCGTTGCTTTCAAACCAACCCCCCCCAGAGCCTCCCTATCACTGTGACCCCCAGCTCCATGACTTTTTGGTTTACACAGAGAGTGGCTCATGTGTGGAATGAACTGCTTGAGGAAGCGATGGATACAGGTACAGTTAGAACATTTAAAAGACATTTGGAGAAGTACATGAATAGGAAAGGTTTAGAGGGAGATAGTAGGAACTGCAGATGCTGGAGAATCTGAGATAACAAGGTGTAGAGCTGGATGAACACAGCAGGCCAAGCAGCATCAGAGGAGCAGGAAAGCTGACATTTCGGGTTTGGACCCTTCTTCAGAAATGGGGGAGGGGAAGGGGACTCAAATAAATAGAGAGAGGGGGAGGCGATGATGGAAGGTGGATAGAGGAGCAGATAGGTGGAGAGAAGATGGACAGGTCAAGGAGGTGGGGATGAAGCCAGTAAAGGTGAGTGTAGGTAACGAGTTGGGATGGGGGTTGGTCAGTGGGGAGGGAGGGGCGGGTAGGTGGGAGGGAAGACGGACAGGTCAAGGGGGCAGGGTGAGGCTAGTAGATAGAAAGTGGAGGTGGGGGTTGGTCAGTGAGGTGGGAGGAGTGGATAGGTGGGAGAAAAGACGGACAGGCCAAGGAGGCAGGATGAGATGGGCTGGTCTTGGGATGCGGTCGGGGGAGGGGAGATTTTGAAGCTTGTGAAGTCCACATTGATACCATTGGGCTGCAAGGTTCCCAAGCGGAATATGAGGTGCTGTTCCTCCAGCCTTCGGGTGGCATCATTGTGGCACTGGAGGAGGCCCAGGATGGACATGTCGTCCAAGGAGTTGGGGGGGTGTTGGGGAGTTGAAATGGTTCGCGACTGGGAGGTGCAGTCATTTGTCATGAACCAAGCGTAGCTGTTCCACAAAGCGGTCTCCAAGCCTCCGCTTGGTTTCCCCGATGTAGAGGAGGCCACATCGGGAACAGCGGATACAGTATACCACATTAGCAGATGTGCAAGTGAACATCTGTTTGATGTGGAAGGTTTCAAAGGGCCTGGGATGGGGGTGAGGGGGAGGTGTAGGGGCAGGTGTAGCACTTCCTGCGGTTGCAGGGAAAAGTGCCGGGGGTGGTGGGGCTGGTGGGGAGTGTGGAAGGAGTCACGGAGAAAGTGGTCCCTCTGGAAAGCAGATAAGGGTGGGGAGGGAAAAATATCCTTAGTAGTGGGGTCAGATTGCAGGTGGCAGAAGTGGCGGAGGATGATGTGTTGAATCCGGAGGTTGGTGGGGTGGTACGTGAGGATGAGGGGAATTCTGTCTTTGTTGTTATTGCGGGGAGGGGGTGTGAGGGCTGAGGTGCGGGAAACGCCAGAGATGCGGTCGAGGGCGTTTTCGACCATTGTGGAGGAGAAGTTGCAATCCTTGAAAAATGAGGACATCTGGGATGTCTGAGAGTGGAATGCCTCATCTTGGAAGCAGATGCAGCAGAGGCGAAGGAATTGGGAATAGGGGATGGCATTCTTGCAGGAAGGTTACACAAAGTCCTTCAAACTTTTCCCACTGAGAACAAATTCGTAAAAAGTCTCTTTTTAACTTTACTCGTGTGAGTTTATTCACCTAGTCATGGTTGTTAACCAAATGAAATTGTAAAATCTGCAGCAATAACAGCTTTATCCTCAGGCTAGAACTATTTTAGTACAAATCTAAAGCATACCACAAGTCACTTTTCAAATGAAGCTTTATGCTGACCAGAACGGTCAGAGAAAAACTTCAATTGAACTTTTTAAAATTAACTTTTCAAAACATTTTTACAATAAAAATAAAAACATATTTTCTCAACATTTATTTCTTTCTGCTTCTCTTCTGAAGGAAATAATACTCTATTTCTAAAATCATTTTTTTCTTTTACTTAACATGGCCTAGTGGTACTATCACCAGACTGTTAATCCAGAGATCCAGATAACGTTCTGGGGACCCGGGTTCGAATCCCGCCACAGCAATAAATATCGGGAATTAAGAATCTAATGATGACCATAAATCCATTATCGACTGTCAGAAAAACCCATCTGGTTCACTAACGTCCCTGAGGGAAGGAAATTGCCATCCTTACCTGGTCTGGCCTACATGAGATTCCAGACCTGCAGCAATGTCGTTGACTCTAACAGCCCTCTGGGCAATTAGGGATGGGCAATAAATGCTGCCTAACCAGCAAAGCCCTCATCCCATGAATGAATAGTAAAAAGAAAAAGATGTTGTGACATTCCTTTGTGGAAGGTGGGATTTGAACCCAGATATTTTGGTTCAGTAATATGGCACTAAACACTGCTCCACCAGAATACTATGTATTACTTATATTCTGTCTGTCCTCCAGCACTTTAATTAGAGCATCATTATGTGTATTAGCAGACAATTTTATCATAGCTGAGGCCATCGTGCCCTTTACCCCTGACTGAACACAGTTCAATTAGAAGATACTGCCTAACTCTAAGCAGCTGGATTCCTGGCCAACTTTCTCCTTCTTTACTCAAAGTCACTGCAGTGCCAATCCTAACACCCCACAGAGATTAGCTGGGCTTAATCAGCCACTCAGCTAAAATTATAGTTTGTGTTCACTGGGTTGAATTTATGCTCTGTAAAACCATCATCATATCTGTCTTACCTAGCAATGTAGAAAATATAAACAGGAATAGGCATTTGGTCCTTTGAACCTGCTCCAACATTCAATATGATCATGGATGAGCATTGTACTCAGTACTCTGTTCCCGTTTTTCCCTCATACCCTTTCATCTCTTCAGCCCTAACAACTATCGCCCTCTTGAAAACATCCAATGTTTTGACCTCAACCACTTTCTGTGGCAGAGAGTTCCACACGCTCACCACTCTCTGGGTGAAGATGTTTCTCCTCATCTCAGTTTTCTTTCATTGCCATTGGGATAATTTACTTGCAGGAGAAAGGGAGACTTTGACCCTAACATTTACTGAGCCATCCATTTGAACAGTGTAAGGGAATAGAGGATTTTTTAAAAATATTATCTGTGGGATGTGGGCGTCGCTGGATGGCTAGCATTTATTGACCATCCCTAGTTGCCCTTGAGAAGGTGGTGGTGAGCTGCCTTCTTGAACCGCTGCAGTCCTCCTGATGTGGGTTGACCCACAATGCTATTAGGGAGGGAATTCCAGGATTTTGACCCAGTGACAGTGGAGGAACAACGATATATTTCCAAGACAGGATGGTGAGTGGCTTGGAGGGGAACTTGGAGGTGGTGGTGTTCCCATATATCTGCTGCCCTTGTCCTTCCAGGTCGAAGTGGTCATGGGTTTGGAAGGTGCTGTCTGAATATCATTGGTGAATTTCTGCAGTGCATCTTATAGATAGTACACACTGCTGCTACTGAGCGTCGGTGGTGGAGGGAGTGGATGCTTGTGGATGTAGTGCCAATCAAATGGGCTGTTTGTCCTGTATGTGTTGAGCTTCTTATGCGTTGTTGGGGCTGCACCCATCCAGGCAAGTGGGGAGTATTCCATCACGCTCTTGACTTGTGCCTTGTAGATGGTGGACAGGCTTTGAGGAGTCAGGAGGTGAGTTACTCACCACAGTATTCCTAGCTTCTGACCTGCTCTTGTAGACTCTGAGACTAAATCCTTAGTTGAATTGGCAAAAGGTTGAAAACTAAAGGCATTAGGATGGTCTATTGTGCAATACTGAGGACGTACCTATACTCCACAGAATGCAGTGGCTCAAGAAAGGAGATCAGCACCAGCTTCTCAAGGGCAAAGAGGGATGAGCAATAAATGCTGACCAATCCAATGTTGATCACCCACATCCCATGTAAGAATGTAAAAAGCACAAAGTAGGGTCTTGTGATAGAAGATCTTATAGGAGTTTACAAAATAATGAGGGGTATGGATAGGGTAAATAGCAGCTGTCTTTTCCTTAAGGTGGGGGAATTTCAAGAATAGGGGCATATTTTTAAGGTGAGGGGAGAAAAGTTTAAAAAAAGATACCAGAGGCAATTTTTTTTTAAAGAGTGGTTTGTGTGTGGAATGAACTTCCGGAAGTAATGGTGGATGTGGGTACAGTAACAACATATAAAAGACATTTGGATAAGCACATGAATAAGCAAGGTTTGGAGGGATTTGGTCCAAGTGCAGGTGGGTGGGACTAGTTTAGTTTGGGATAATGGTCGGCATAGACTAGTTGGACCGAAGGGTCTGTTTCCATGCTGTATGACGATCTGCTGAAGACCCTATCAGGGAGATTGAAATTTAAGAGGCTGAAGCTGATTAGTTTCTCAGCATTTGGTTACACAATGTACATCAACTCCAAAATCAAATACATCAACTCCAGCAGATCACATTTTAGTTACTCTCATTGAGTTCATATTAAGTGTCATGACAGTGGACCATAGTTTGATAGAAATGTTTATGTCGATCTTCTGAAAAAATCTAATGTGATTTGGGGTTTATCTGGTTTCCTCAGCATCTCAAGCAAACATTCTGGATGCCATACAGATTAATTGAAATGCAACTGACTTCAGTTCTGTACTGAGGAAGTCATTAAATGAAATCAACATCAGAATGTTCTAGGCAATTTATTCAATCATATATTTCTATAATTCAATCAGTCAAATGGTATATCATTCTTAAAACAAGATTAGCTCTCTAAATCTCTGCAAGTGAGATTTCCCAGAACACAAGGAACTACTTAGAATACATTTGTGCATGTTGAAAATTGTTTTCAATGTGCAATGAGCTTTTTTTTATATAGACAATCAAATAAATATGGTGCTCAAGGATTTAGACAAGAAGCAATTCCTACTAAATACATTATAAGACAGTCATGTAACGCATTGCTGGGGATGTCAACATAGCACGAGCAAGCACGGCACAGGAAGTCAGTCAGGGATGCAAACTCCCAATTCCACATCTATTTTCTGCAATGTCAAGTGACTGTATGGTTGTAACTAATGCACTGCAACTTCCTGCCAATTTAAAATGCGATTAAACTGTGCAGACTTCTTGTCGACTTGAAGAGGGAAAAGCACGAAATTTCACATGACGCACTTTTAAAGGGGCAAGACCGCATTAGTCTCAATTTATTACTGTATTGTACCTGGAGAGAGAGAGAGACGGAGGTGTGTGTGTGTGTGTGTGTCTGTGTGTGAGAGAGAGACAGCATCTGCCAGAGACAGAGAGGGTGTGACAGTATGATTGTGAAAGTGTCTGAGAGTGTGTAAGATTATCTGTGTGAAAGAGAGAGTGTGTATGTGACAGAGCAAGTGAGTATATGTCAGTGTATGAATGAGAGTGAGAGTGTAAGTATGTGACTGCATGTGCGAGACAGTGTGTAAGAATGTATGTGTGTGAGGAAGAGTGTGAGAGTGAGTGAGAGTGTGTGATTATGAGTGTGCAAATGAATGAGCGTGACTCAGTGTGAGAGACTGAGTGTGTGTGAGAGAGAGAGAAAGAGTGTGAAATAGAGACTGGGTGAGAGTAAGAGTGTGTGAGAGACTGTGTGAGAGAGAGTGTGCAAGTATGTGGACGGGAGTGAAAATGTGTGTGAGAGACAGAGCATGTGTGAGAGAGAATGCGTGAGAGCAGATGAGAGACGGTGAGAGTGTATGTGAGCATGCGTGTGAGTGTGACAGTGTGTGTGGGAGTGTGAGAGAGAGAGTGTGTGTGTGTGAGAGAATGTGTGTGTGTGTGTGTGAGACCGTGTGTGTGAGAGAGAAAGAGAGAAAGAGAGAGAGAGAGAGAGAGAGTGTGTGTGTGTGTGTGTGTGTGTGTGTGTGTGTGTGTGTGTGTGTGCGCGCGCACACATGTGCCTGTGTGTGCACACGATATTTATAGTTCTGCATTTCCCTCTACAATGACCTGCTTCGGATTCATTAAATCACAGGCTGTAACTTATACACTTGCAGATACTGACATTACCTAAGACATGGATTGACATTAATAGGCTTGACGTTTAAGATAAAACCCTTTTTGTTGAAGCTGCTAGGCATCGGAAGAACACCACATGAATAAAAGGAGCTGTCTATTCGTGAAATTGGAAATCAAACACTTTAAAGGCAAATCAAATTTGATCCAAAATGTAATTTGATAAACAAAAGTGTGAAGCTCCAGAGCTCAGCTGAAAACACACTGAAAAAGTCAACGAAGCATTCTTTGGTGAGGTATAAGTTAGACTAAAGCAGATAGTCGTGGTCTAGGGAATAGATGCAGTTGTTTTATGTTAGGGTAGTTTGAGTTAGGCACAACTTCTTCCACTACTTATGATATTTAGTACTGAAATCTATTGAGAATACCACATTTCAGTATGTTTATAGAATCACAGAATCCCACTAATGTGGAAGCAAGCCATTCGGCCCATTGGGTCCACACCAACCCTCCAAAGAGCATCCCATCCAGACCCACTCCCCTATTCTATCCTATCCTATCCCTGTGACCCTGTAATCCCCATGGCTAATCCACCTAGCCTGCACATCTTTGGACTATGGGAGGAAACCGGAGCACCCGGAGGGAACCTGGACAGACAAGGGGAGAACATGCAAACTCCACAAAAACAACCACCCGAGGGTGGAATCGAACCTGGGTCCCTGGCGCTATGAGGCAGCAGCGCTAACCACTGAACCACTGTGCCGTTCCCCCCAGTGCCACCACCCAATTGAAGAATTGATGCAAATTGTATCCAGTGAGGGTGTTAAATAATGTGCTATAGAATGGAATACTTTTCATTTTTTGCACATTGTGTTAAACTATCAAACATTCTCGCGTTGCAGCGTGCCTCAGATGAACCACGAGAACACCTATGACTGACCCAATAATATATCATGGCTGAAAGCCAACTCCAGAAGCATACCTCTTAATGCACTAACTTTATGCTCCATTTCACGCCCAAGTCTTCTTTGTGACTCTTCCGGGAAAGATCCTTTTAATATCTTGCGAAATTTACCTCATTCTCACTAATTTACATAGGATCATTACAATATCACATGAAAAGGAGATATTTACTGCACCACCACCATCCTAAGATGTGAAGCAAAGCAGCTTTTGAATTTATTCCACCAATTTGTCAATAAACTCAACAAGTTTGGAGGCCGTTGGAACAAAAGTAATGTCCATCAGAAACAATGTTATTAATAAGGTAACTGGACATACGTGTTTTACTTAATACATCAGGCCTGAGAAATGCCCAAAATAAATATATTCTGCTATCTGTAAGATGTTTTCAGTGATGTGACTTACTCTAATGAAACTGTAGTTACTTCTGAAAAATGTTCTATCGATAACTGACCTGTTATGTTTATCTTCGCTGACCATTTAGAAGTTCCATCCAATACACTCTGCTTTGCTGCTTTCAAATGTTGTGCATAGTCCTCTTTAGATACTACAAATTGCTCACGGATCAGCTCAAAGATCTCTGGCTTGTTTTTCTCTCTGATTTTCATCCTTTCCTTCATGGCTGCAATGATGTTTTGTGTTTTGTCCTCTGCACCATGTTTTGAACTTTTCTCAGCAGCTCCTGACATTGGAAACGAGAGGTCAGTCAATCAGTTAGAATTTGAAATGAGCTGCATTTATAAAGTAATGGCTACAAATCGGCTGGGTTTATAAAACAGAAGCTACCCAAAACTATTTTGATGGCTTGACTTTGCTGGTATAAGCCATTTCAAATAGCTTTACTTTTCTCTGAAACTGAATTCCTAACAGCTATAACTCCTGGCTGAAAAAACTCCTTACATCACACTGTTCAATTACATCTCTACACAAAAATCAATATGTTCTGCTACTTTTAATTATAAACCTCGAAGACAATCTCACAAGAAAATATAGATATGTACCTGATGCCTAAAGCCTTTGTAACTGAAAGAATCACTAGGTTGCTTACTCCTAGACCTTTCCATCACAATAATTAAATTTTTGGCAATTTTTATAAATAGCGAAATTTGAACTGGTAAAGATGTTAATTCATGGATAGTTGCCTCATCTTTATAGAATGAAGTGAAGTATCTCAGTTAAATGGATTAATTTGACTTATCTGCGATTTTTTTTGGAGCATTAGTTAAAATCCATAAACACTTCTGTCCCACATTCTAAACCACTACTTGTTTGCCTTCAACGTTTGTATACATGCGTTTAATTATCTACAGAATGTGCCAGTATATCATCGCTAGAAGGTAAGGGATAAGACATTAACATTAATGGGGTGACATTAACAGGTGAGAGAAGGATAGACAGAGACATGGAGGAGGAAATGGGGAGAATGTGGACAGGAAGAAACAAAGGCCTTAGTTGGGAATGTATGCTGGACTGAGGAAGTGACTTGAGAAAAGGCTTCAGTATTGTAAACACAATGAAGGCTTGTGGCTTAATTGCAAAGTGGGCATGCAGTCTGTAGTCTAAAAGAACTTCAGAGGTCTGGCCTTGGGGATTACTGAGGGCTGAAGGAAATTTGGAATGACATTGCTCAATGTAGTAGGGCCTCCATACAATAGGTGGTGATAGTGGGGGAGAGTATATCAATTCCTATGGGCCCCTTCCTGCAGGGAGCAGTGTCTTTGGCAAGTTGGTAGAATATGGGGACAGAGGTCATGGGCATGGGACAAGGAGTGAAGGAGCTGAAGGCCAGGATGTGCAAATAGCAAGTTTCTGATGCTGACTGGAGAACATCTTTGGGGAAGTGGAGCGGACATTTAGATACTGGATAATTTGCTAGACTGAAATGCTGAAGGGAAAAACATGTTGAACTAACTTGCTTGCATTTTTTGAAGAGGTAATGGAGAGAATTGACAGGAGTAATCCTGTTGATGTTGTGTATATGAACTTCCAAAGATGTTGATACAGTACCACCCACTAGACCTGTGTAAAAATTTGTACCTCTTGCAATAAGTAGGCCATTAGCTACATGCATACAAATGGTTAAAAAAAAAACACTAGTGATTAATGGTGTTTTTCAAGCTGAGGAAGGTTTGTAATGGTGTTCCTCAAGGGTCAGTTTTTGGACCCTTGCTTTTCTGGATATATATTAATGATCTCGACAACGTTCATGTGTGCAGATGTAATATGGAAACCATGAGGAGGACAGTATAGAGCTCTAAAAGAGCAAAGACAAATCAATGGAGCTGACTGATAGGTAGCAGATGGTGTTCAATGCAAAGTGTGAGGTGATACCCTTTTGGTAACAAGAACATGGAGATACAGTATCAAATAAGAGGCACTATTTTAAAGTGTGCAGGAGCAGAAAGACAGAGATTGATACATGCTTAAGTCACTAAAGGTGGCAGGACAGGTGGAGTTGGCAGTTAATAAAGTAGACAGTATCCTAGATTTTATAAACAGGAGCACTGTAGTGACTGGAACGAGGTCAGCCAGGTGGACCTCATAGAATAGGAGTTCCCTGATTGGGGCTGTTAACCAGGTCCAATCAGGGAGCCCTGGCTGAGAGGTGGAAACAGGAGTGTCAGAGATCCGAAACGTCAGCTTTCCTGCTCCTCTGATACTGCTTGGCCTGCTGTGTTCATCCAGCTCTACACCTTGTTATCTCTGGGATCCTGTTCGCTCTGAAAACTTGCTTTGAGGGAGCTGGATCAGTGTCAAGGACCTTCCACTTTTAAATAAAGGATGACTTGGTGACAGGGTACCAGCCTCTGTGGAGTTATTTTAAGCATATAATAGCGAAGCAAGGAGGTCATGCTGAACTTGCACTAGGCACAAGTTAGAACTCAGCTGGTGTACTGTGTACAGTTCTGGGTGCCAAACTTTAGGAAGGATGTGAATCCATTGGAAAGAGTTCAGAAGCAGTTTTCAGCAAAGGTTCTAGGGATGGACACTTCGGTTATAAAGATGGACTGGAGAAGTTGGGACGTTTTTGATATGGGGACCCCTTTCCATCTGTTACTGTGTTTTGCTTTAAAGGTATCAGTGTGTCCCAATTTGCATGTTAGCCCAGCCCTGAATAGGAGAAGGCTGATAGGAGATTTGATAAAAGTGTTCAAAATCATAGGGGCTCAACATTGTAGGTAGGGAGAATCTGTTCGTGCTAATAAAGCGATTGAGAAAGACAGAGCACAAATTTGCAAGCTTTGCAAAAGAAGCAAATGTGATATGGAAGGAAACACTGAACAGCAAGTAGTTCGGGTGTGGAATGCACTGCCTGGAAATGTGGTGGAGGCAGGTTCAGTTGAGGTATTCACAGGGCATTGGATACTTATTGAAATTGAAACACAATTCAGGGTAAGAGAAAAGACAGGAGAATGGAGAACCGAGTCATCATGCTCACAGAGCTGGTGCAGATAGGATGGGCCAAATAGTTGGCTGTACACCATCTTAATTCTGTGATTGAATGACTGGCAACACCCCTGAGCTGCAGAAGCCTCATGGAAGGGGTAGGAATGACAGAGGGCACCAAGCAGGAGGCTGCACTATTCGTAACCCTGGCTCTTCAATACTGATCCACCTGACTGCTCACAGGAAGTTAGCAGGAGCTCATCCAACTGAACTTGTTAGCCACTTGATGAGAGATCAGGAGTTGAGCTCTACCACAAAGTCTCAATGGAACGTGCAACACTGGGCAAATATCCATTCTATATAAAAGCCAAAAGAACTGCGGACGCTGTAAATCAGAAACAAAAACAGAAATTGCTGGAAAACCTCAGCAGGTCTGGCAGCATCTGTAGAGAGAAATCAGAGTTAATGTTTTGGGCTGAGTGACCCTTCCTTGGAACATTAATTATATGTAGTTTATTCCTCTATGCTGCACTTTTCCATTCATGTTTATAAAGATTCATTGCCAGTAGAATAAAGAAATACCCTTTTACAATCTTCATGCAGTGCGTGCGTTTAAATCGCGTGTTACATTGGGGCTAGCAAATTTGGAAACATTTGAAGATGGGGAACCACCGGCTGTGAGTTATCAGAGGGGTGCAACCACTCAAGAGGAGTCTAAACATTCAAGCATTTGAAAGAACTGAGGAAACTGGGGAGATGTAAAAACCTGAGTGAGTGGCATTGGGCATAGAAGATGGTGTCAGAGAGTGGTTGAGAAAAAAGGAGACTGGAACACAGCATCACTGAGTATAGATGGAATTCAAATGTCCTAAGGATATACATCCTGGAGGTTGACTGGATTGTGGGAGTAACGAAAGAAGAAGATACAATGTGGAGGGGCAATAGAAACGATTGGGGATTTGGAAGCATTGATTTTTAATCATCATAGAATCCCTACAGTGTGGAAACAGGCCCTTCAGCCCAACAAGTCCATACCGACCCTCAGAGCATCCCACCCAGACCCATCCCCCAGTAACCCACCTAATCTACACATCCCTGAACACTACGGGCAACTCAGCATGGCCAATCCACCTAACCTGCACATCTTTGGACTGTGGGAGGAAACCGGAACACCCGAAGGAAACCCACACAGATACGGGGAGAATGTGCAAACTCTACACAGATAGTCGCCCAAGGATGGAATCGAACCTGGATCCCTGGCGCTGTGAGGCAGCAGTGCAAACCACTGAGCCACCGTGCCACCTGAATGAACTGAGGAGAATTAGAGAACTTGAGCAAGATTGGAGTTGTTATTTCAGTCATCACTGGGTGGTGCTGCATTGAGGCATTCCTGCCCTTTGAATGAACAATATTGCCTTTAGTTTGCAATAAAAATAATGGTGAGGTTATTATGACTGCCAACCAATGGCTTTGGAGGAGAAGGAGGGCAACAGAAAGAGGGGTAAAACTGAGCTCTGTGACATTCGATGTGTGAGGATGACGTTAGACAGGTGAGCATACCGTGCCATACCATTCCTGATGTGGAGGTGCCGGTGTTGGACTGGGGTGAACAAGGTCAGAAATCACACTACACCAGGTTTATTTGAAACCACAAGCTTTCGGAGCCTCGCTCCTTCTTCAGGTGTCATACCATTGCTGGTAGGAGTAACTACAAGTATGTCAGGACAGGGACCTCTCCAGCACTGAAAATAATTTTTTAAACAAAGTTTGGAATGTTATTCCTTTGCGTTCTAATTACTGATTTTTTGTTTGTATTTTCTTTCCATCCCTTTCTCTCTTAATTCAATCTTTCTTTCCCTCTCTTTATTTTGCTCTCTGCATATGATTTTGCTTTGAAAGCAATATTCTATCTTGGAATTAATTTTGCAAATGCTGCATGTCTCAGTGAAAAATCTTCAAACTGAATAGTTGAAGAAATACACTGTTGCATTCTGTCTCCACAGAGGTCCTACAGTCCCTCTGGAGATACCTACATGTTGCTGCCTGAAAAAAAATCCACACAAAAAAAAAATCAATAGGATAGACAGCTCTAAGCATGACAAGCAGTTGCTGTGTCTACTGCTGACTGCAAAATCCAGGCTGTAAAACTGACATTCCTTTTTCTCACATTTGCTCACCCTTTCTCTCTCTATCACAGAGTAGAGCATAATTATGTCAGCAAAAATACTCACGTTGCAAACAATCAGCATTTAGAAGGTCCTGACATTTTTCATGGCATTTGACACCACACTCTGTACAACGCATGCCTTGCCTGGCTATACCCCAGAGCAGCCCTTCACATTCATAGCAGTAGGTGGGGGTTGTCGCAGTCCAAACCTCAAAGTTATGTGGAGTGGTGGATGATATTGGATAGATTAAGGCCTGCAATGTCTTCTTGTAAACGTGTGCTTTCTGTTAAAAAATAGGGTCAAGAAAAATTGGCATTTGTTATTTAGAAGCATTACTTTAAAAACTTTAATCAAATTTACTGCAATATACCATGCTACAACTAGATTCATAAAACTGGCTGTGCTTGAAAATGGTTATTACTGAAACCAACATCATTTCTTTAACTCTGGACATGAGAATTCTTCTGCACATTGCTCTTGCCAATTGATTCATCCAAATCTTTTCCTTTTGGATCAGTTAAATAGGCTGCTGTAGATATATTTAGCAACAAGGAACAGGAATCTATGAAGCAAACAAGTGGCAATATTGAAAGGCTTGCATAGAAAAATAGAAACGAGAGAATTTATCAATGTAGTTCTTCAGTGTTCATGTTTGTATCAATTATCAGAGGAACTTATAGGGTTTTGAATCTGTAAAAACACCGTTACAGATTATTTCTCAGAAATACAGAGTGTAATATGTTTGTGGTGTTGTGTTTTGAATTCTGAAGTTTTCAGTCATGTAGCTCCCCGTTAGCCTGGCTCTGAGGTGCAGATGGGAGGATTAATTTCTAATTTAGCCTGTCTTCTCAAGGTCACTGCTCAGGTGCTCTCTGTGGGAATCCAGGTAATTGTATCTGCTGTAATTTCTGAGGTGAATTAGGGGTCAGATAGTTGCTTGGAAATTTAATTCTCCAGGTCAGAGCTAGCATGAAATGACTGCCTTTTTTTTTTCAAATGTTTTACATTTGTAACAAGGAATGTAATGTGATGTGTGAAATCTGTCAGTGATATTAAAAGCTACTTCAGTCAGAGTTCAGATTGAACGTTTCTAAAGTGAAGACACAAAGTCTTCACGAAGCTCATTCTTTCACTTTTTGCATTTTCAATTTGTCTTGAATTTGGGATGATAAACGCTGACACAATTTTCTCACTTTGTCTAAAAATGTGGAGGCAGGTATGTTAAGTGAACTGTATCAACCCCCCACCCCCATTACTGGGGTAACCAGACTGATCATATGCTAATCTGCTAGATAAGAGTTGATATACATGTCATTAGCAACAATTTTGGCTTATCAGAGGCCCCCTATACTGACATCTGAGGACTTCAGAAGCTGCTGGCCAACCTTTTAAAGGCTGGCAGCTTGTGGGCCCTAAAGGCCAACAATTGGGGCCTAGAGATCCAGTGGCAGGAAGGTCAGCGTTCTTTATCTTCCTGTCACAGGATGGGGTTTCGGGGGAAGGAGTGTCAGGGGAAGAATGGGTCGGGTTGGGTGCCACAGTCAGAGGCAAGGGCAGGACTGTGGATTGAAGAGGCCACCCACTTGGCCATCATCCTGGGGCAATTAAGTTTGGGGCAATTAAGCCTCTCTCTTCCATCCAAACCTGGGACTAAGGCCTCTCCGATTTCCCAGTAGGGAAACTAGCCACCTTTCTTTGCATGCTGGGAAAGCAGGTAAGCAGGGAGATGGTGAATAGCAATGGGCAAAATCAATGAAACTAAGATTCACATTTCAGGTCAGAGAATCACACTTACCAAGTCTTCATTATTTATTGAAGTTCTGTTGACCATGGTTAAAGATATACCTGCTTTTCGAGCAGCTAGAGTCTGTTGAGATGGAATAAAATGTAAATGGTGATGAGAAGACATTTAAAAAACATACTCCAGGTAACTAATGGATGCCTACTGTAATTCTTTGGAACATAAAATGTCTATTAATGCTTTTCTATTAATCCTGAGGAGGATTTTTTTGGGGTTGGAGCTAATGATTGATTTAGAACCAATACATTATCCACACATAAATAGATGCTACTAATGTAATCAATTAAATTTGGCTTGACCTACTGACGCTTACAGTAAACAGCAAACTCTTTACCCCATCACGAGCGAGCCTGAGATTTTGTATTTAATGTGCTAACTCCATTCATAGGTTTGTGGCCGTGGGATATTGAATGGGTTGGTGTTCAGAGTTGTTCACTTGCTGTCCACAGAAGAAAGTTACCAAAATAATCCAACTTTGGTATAGCAAATAAAAGCCTCTGTTAAAGCAAAACAACCAGGAAGAGTTCACCTTTCACTTGGCAACTGTCAGCAGTAAGATGTTAAAAAGGTGGAGATCACTGTGCACGGAATCATAGCCACATTTCATTAGCTGCTGGCAAACACATTGCAGCTTTCCTCAAACAGGGTATTAGTTAGTCAAGTGACCTTCAACCCATGGTTGAGCAATTCTGTTCTGTACAAGAATGCTGCTATCACTGACAGCACAAAATGCATATTTAATTTGTTCTTTATTAACCCAAGGTACTATGCTCCATATATTTGGCTGTTCAAATGATCTGCAAAATATTGGGTGATAAAACAAAACAGTCCTCAAGCCTTTCCTTTCAAGGACTTGATCATCAAAACATTAAGCACTTGCAAAATAAGGGCCATTGCATTCTTTACGAAAGTGAACAATGGTTACAGTCTGGGTTGGATTTTGATGTGCTAATTGGGGCCAGAGACACGACTGGGGAGAAAAGGACCACTGAGTGGGAGGGCCGGAAATCCCACCTTCTTTTCCGCAGTTAACCATTTCCATGAAAGTGCGGGAGGGAACAGATCTTGGAACCTGCCTGCTCCTGTGAAAAAGGCCTCGTGGTTAACTTTTTAACAAATGTTCACAGTAGTTGAAGTAACTCCATAGAGGCTGTATCCTGTCACCAAGTCACCCTTTATTTACACACGACACTGATCCAGCTAGCACAGAGCTGGCTTCCTAGAGTGAACTGAACCTCTGACACTCCTATTTATATCTGTCAGCCAGGGGTCCCTGATTGGACCAGGTTAACGGCCCCAGTCAGGGAACTCATATTCTACAAGATCCACCTGGCTGATATTGTCCCAACCAAAGATTAGCAGCTGCACTAACTGCATGAACTATACTGGGGGCAGAAAGAGTGTAAGGCAGAAGTAAAAAGGTTTTGCCTCCATTATGATTCTTCATAAGATGATATAGCATGAATACTCAGTAAGGTGAGCCATGTCAGTGCTGTGACTGAAAGCTGGAACTATCCTGTAAACAACGTGGTTGCTAGATTGTTGCTTCTGAAACTGACAAGCTGTCTTGACTTTAAATAGCAGCTCACTGTACTTGCTTGAAACCACAACCATGAATATGAATTGGACTTTCAGATGCTTACAAAGCTTTGTTGGCAAATACAAGCTCTGAGTTGTAAAAAAGCATACAAGGTCATTAACTTTCACTCAGCGATTTAAGGTCTGATTTTTCTCAGTGTTTGAAAGATGGGAGCAAAAAGAGATATTTAGAGAAGAAATCTTATTTAACACTTGATGAGATTTAGATAAGAGGATTCTCCTATTTCACATACGCTCCCTAAAACGTTCCAAAAATACTGCACCTCATGCCATGCTAATTAGCTGACCTGGAAATATTGAGCATAAACAGCATAACTTCATTTCGCTGCAAAACCTACCATTCATGTAAGATCAGCCAAACAAAGAAAATTCACGCTGATACAGTTTTTGGGGAAACATATAATCAGTTTGTTTTGAATATTTTCATTATTTGTCAAAAGCTATCATATTGCATATGTACAACTTTGAACAGAATTACTGTAATTCCAGGGTACCTAATTGCACACCACAATTTGTCAAAAAGTAAGCTTGGACAGCATTGTTAAAATGTGGATGCCGGCATGCAAATATTGTGGAATTTTACTGAAGGACGAAAGAACACAGCTAAAAATATCATCATAGAATAAAAGATTGCAGCTGTGTTTAAAGAAAAAGTGTAACTACTGCAGTTAAGTTTGGCATTTCATGTCTGTCAAACTATAGCTCAGTTCAGCAGATGAAAATGCCGCTAATTTCTTCTAACATCAGATTTTGGATGTGATCCCAAAGACTAAAATCACTTAATCACAATTATTAGTTGTGAATATTTAACCACTAAAGTAACTAAATTCTTATAGAGATTGAATAAGGATTTCCATTCATTTAGGTTATTTTCTGAACATCCTTACTTTTCCTTAAAAATGTGCTTCAGTTCTGAATATGTGCATTTCTTCATACACTTTACAAACTGTTGTGTAATGGAGCACTTATTTTAATTCCTCAGTTTGCACCGAGAGGCGGTCAACAGACCTGGACAGTTCAGAGAAAGCATTGGTAACATGACCAGTTTCCATTTCGATAACTCTAGCTTTCACATCATTCTCAAATTCTGGGGGAAAGACCACAGTTTAAGGTCTTTCTGCTAAAGTATAATGGGGGTCCATTCAGGTATCAGACCTTCCCGATGCCTCAAATACATGTAAATAGTACCTTGCATAATTAAGAAGCGGCTTTGGGTTTGTTGTAACTTTGTAGAAAGTCACACCCCAATGTTTGTTCTCAATAAGCAAAGATTGTACAGAACTGAACTGCTTTAGTAACTCTGTATGTACATAGAGTTTTTCTATGAATAAAGTATATTTTTGCAATAAAAAGATGTCAGATTTTTACTGGGTGTAGGGAGGGAGCATCAATTTAAAATAAGAGGTCAAAGCAAGCTAGAGCTTGCTGTACAAAGTCACCAGCAGAGCAGCTTCAGGACTTGTCACTTTAATATAACTTTAATACTTCTATAATAAAAACCAAAAGAACTGCGGATGCTGTAAATCAGGAACAAAAACAAAGTTGCTGGAAAAGCTCAGCAGGTCTAGCAGCATCTGTGGAGGAGCAAACAGAGTTAACGTATCGGGTCCGGTGACCCTTCCTCAGAACTCCAGTTCTGAGGAAGGGTCACCGGACCCAAAATGTTAACTCTGTTTTCTCCTTCACAGATGCTGCCAGACCTGCTGAGCTTTTCCAGCAACTTTGTTTTTGTTCCTGTGTTTAATACTTCTATGGTGTTGTCAACTCAAACCATTGTGTTACATACTTCAACAGAGTGAAAGTCATCCATTCAATCCTGCTTTCAGCTAATTCAGAGACCAATGTTTCAATTGTGAATTGCAAAGAAATACAATTCGGATTAATAAAACAGCTATCCAATTGTTTCTCCTCTTTTTCCAAAGCCCTTCAAATTTCAAGTAGGCATATTTACAAAGAGAAGCTACTATATTTTTATATGAGTGTGTGTTGGAGACAAAAGTGAGATCATAAAAATCAGAACCCCTGCAGTGTGGAAGCAAGCCATTTGGCCCATCAAGTCCACACTGACCCTCCGAACAGCATCCCACCCAGACCCACCCCTCTGCCTTATTCCTGGAACTCTGCATTTGCCATGGCTAGCTAACCTTTTTAGCCTGCACATGCCTGGACACTGTAGAGAAATTTAGCCTGGCCGATCCACCTAACCCACACATCTTTGGACTGTGGAAGGAAATCAGAGCACCCGGAGGAAACCCACGCAGACACAGGGAGAATGTGCAAACGCAACACAGAGAGTCACGCCAGGGTGGAATCAAACCCAGGTCCTTGGCACTGTGAGCAGTGCTAACAAATGAGCCACCGTGCCACCCTGTTACATTGCTAACTGTAAGTTTAACCTGACATCATTTTTATCATGCTCAGCAGGAGAAACCATTCATTTAGTATTGAAAGGAAATCATCCTTGACTTGCTTATCTTTTTTTAAGTAGTTGTTACAAATGGGGCTGGTTAGCTCAGATGAATGGATCTGTAAAGTATGGTTCAGAATTATACCAACAGCACAGGGTTTGATCGTTGTTCCAGCTGAGTTTCATCTTGCCTCATTGCCCTGCATCATATTAAAATTACAGCAAAATTGAGGGTGCTACCTGTACAAGTTCTGCAACTGGTGCTTTCACAGTGATTTACTCGACATGATCCATATTTGAAAAGTACTTACCAAAGCCTGTTTAATCCCCGAAGCAAGTAAAAGAAATACTTTGTTAGTTTCACTGACTACAGTTGCAAGTAAATTATCAAAGTATACATCAGTGACTTTTTAATATAGGTATAAATAAACTTGCAATAAAGTTAGCAATTGCAATGATATGTCAATGTCATTATGTGATCAGGGTCATTATGTATTAGTTATTTAACAATATGAAAATGTAACAAACCATTATTCATAAAGAGTTTCTATTTTGTTCTAAGCCTGGGTGGAGGCAAAATGGTGGGCAAGTTAACTAACATGCCAGGGCACATGCCCCTCAGTTGCTGGTTACCCAAAGACACTGGCCAAAGTCTAGCAACGGATCATGCTTCAGGAAATCTGATTTGATAAAAGGAGATGAAATGCTTCCAAAATGTCAGCACTTGAAAACCCGAGAAACAAGACTGCGTTTTCCTTCAATTTATAAATCACTTGACTTGAATTTAGTTTGCCATCTAAGAGCGGACAACTTTCTTTACCTCAAATAAAACATAATTTTGGAACAAATCCAAGACATAACTCACCAAATCCCGAACGATAGGCATTGTCTTCTTTCGACGCAGATCTGGCATACTGTCAATGCCATAAAGCTCGCTTCCAGGCCTATAACATTTCATATAATTCAGCAATGAGTATTATATATCATATTTTAGACAGCTACAATAATACAATTTTCACAATATTTGAGTTCTGTATATTACGTATACTGGGTGTGTTGCATTAACCAAAATGTAGTTTGGCAACCATTGGCTGCTACTCTCTTTTTTGCCATTTTCCTTCCCTTTGTGATTTCCTATTCTTGATAACATTTACAACTTGCTGCATTCAGGGCTTCAAGTGGCAGAAACCCTAAAGTATCTTGTTCACATACCTAAACCATCAACGTGCTGTCTCATTGCGAACAGCAGTGTTTGTTAAATCCTGGTCAGAGTATCTAGCCTGACCATTTCCCCAGTGCGGAAATGCTGAGCACAAATACAGTGCTCCTCTTTCATCATCATCCTTTCAGAGCAGTGGTGACGAAAACTTGAATAGAACTGATGGTTATGTTTTGCATAAAAGTTCACCACTAACAATCCATTCAGCGAGGTATGAAATACATGAAAAGAATCCCGATTTGACTTTTGGGGTCTGCATTTCTCCGATACAAACCAATGACTCAGAATAAAACTTTCCTGGGCTTCGTGACTTGATTAATATAAGGATAAAATGCTCTTTTTTTCTCTCTCAAAACAAAGAACTGGCAAATAAGAACACATTCTTGTAAAAATAGCTAAGTTTTTGTTCTCACTGGTGGAGAATTCCAGCCATTTATATTCGTGGGTCAGACTGTAGTTGAAATGGTGGAGTATTCTAAGCAAAGTACATTCAAGTTGAAGCATTAAACTACATTTCCATCCATAAAGAGCATCTTTTCATACAAACCCAAAAAGACAAATCTGGACTCTTTTCCCATATATTTCGCTTCTCATCATTCAAATGACAGTAAGTGCAAAGTTGATAGTTTGCAGAATGGATTCCTCAATAGCGAATCGTTATGCACAACAAAGCCATCAGTTCTACTCATGTTTTCACCTCTAACTCCACCATTCAGCTCCATCACTGTGCTTGGATGATTATGCCTGGCGTTGATCACGATCTGACTGAAGAACTACTTGTTGTTATAGCCCCATGAATACAATAACTAGTTTGACCTTGCATCCCCATGTTCCATCCCTACCATTTAACATCATGGTCCAGAACTTCCTTGATGTTCTTTTTTTCCCTGCATCCACCACCAATGCTTTTTGGAGATTTTAGATGAATTTCCAGGTTTGTGCATAAATTGGGTCATAAACTCACTTCAAGTGAAGTTACTGTGTCAGACCAAGACCAGTACCGAAAGAAATTACCTAATGTCTTGTATACCCTGGAATATTGCCTCTTAGGTGAGTACTTTCCACCTTAGAAGTCTAACTCTCCAGCCTTCCCTCATAAACTCAGTCAACAACAGCAAGACTTTTTTCCTGCACAGTTCTGCTGCACACTTGCCAGTGCTTGGTTTCCCAGTTTTGGTGTGATCAGATTAGACACCACATATTTCTCAAATTGGCCTCTTTGCGAATCCTTCCAACACACCAATGGCAGGCTGTAAGAGTGGGAAAGGCCCCAGTCAGCTAGGCCTAATGCACTGATGCTTGATGAACATGGTTCCTTCGTTGATGGTGCCGCTTAAAACATTCTACTAATTCCAGCTGTCAAAATCTGTGGATGTTTTTTGAAAGATATCCAAATTTCACAAGCCTTGTTCAATAAAACCATCCGTTTTCAGACAACTGTTGTCAACCACACAACATGTTTTCTCCGCGAGGTGTCTGCATCAAAGAACGTACAAAAATTTCAAAAACTGTAAAATAAAATCAGTTTGGATTGAAATTATAAAGGTTTTCTAGAAACTTTGATTCATAAGGTAAAATAACTTTTCATTTCCTCTTGCCAGAGAGAAGCACATTGGAGTAAACATGTAGCTTTAGGAGGATTTCATGTTTCTAAAGGTGTAGGTAGTCATTGACTCCATGTACATTGCTTTGCTGGTGGCTCAAATTAACTGTGAAATCCACTGTAACCAAAAGGGGTTCTATTCTTGCAATGCCTAGCTGGTGTAAGACTGTATACAGAGAAACATGAAGGTCAATCCCAGTGCTCTAGCCTGTTCACTCCACTTAATCCTGTCTGGTAAGAGGAAATGGGTGGCTTGGTAGTTCAGTGGTTGGCACTGTTGCCTCACAGCTCCAGGGATCTGTTTTCTATTCCACCCTTGGGTGACTGCCTGTGTGGAATTTGCGCATTCTCCCTGTGTCTGCGTGGGTTTCCTCTGGATGCTCCAGTTTCCTCCCACAGTCCAAGGATGTGCAGGTTAGGTGGATTGGCCATGCTAAATTGCCCACAGTGTCTAGGGATGAGCAGGCTAGGTAGATTAGCCATGGGAAATGCATGTTTACAGAATAATGGGATGGGTCTGAATGGGATGCTCTTTTGGATGGTCAGTGTGGGCTCGATGGGCCAAATGGCTTGCTTCCACGCTGTGGGGATTCCATAGTTCTATGATCTCAAGATGTTAAATGAAAACACATTTAGCTTTATGAATCAAAGTTTTCAGAAAACCTTTTTGACTTCAATCCAAACTGATTTGAGAGTATTTGAAATTATTGTACACTCTCACTCAGAAAGCATATTGTGTAGTTGACAACTGGTGTCACGATGCCTTCATTCTGCATTAACCCATCACACCATCTCCATTTAATCCATGGTAACAAACCATAGGGTTCCAACTGAGCAAAACATACCTACAATTTGATGAGATAGCTCATGGGCATGACACACAACTCATGCATAAGTATGCTGCTTTTAGAGAGCCGATTGCGGCATTGTGACAGTCGCTGGACTATAAATTGAGAGGTCCATACATTAGAGGCTAATGTTCTGGGAACATGGCTTGAAGTCTCACAACGGAAAGTGATCGAATTTAAATTCAATTGATAAATCTGGAGTACAAAGTTAGTCTCAGTGATGGTGACCAACTGATTGCTTAAAATCCTTGATCAATGGACATAAGCCATCTTTACCTGGTCTGGCCTCCACAGCAATGCGCTTAACCCACCCTCTGGTCTGAACAGCTTGTTAAACCATTTGAGCGGCAATTAAAAATGGGCAATAAATTCTAACCTTGTAAGCGAAACCCGCATCCCATGAAAGAATAAAAAAAGCTCACATATTATGAAATATTGCCACATGAAATGTGATTAAGTAGTCCATTGGGGTGTTTGATTGACATTTGCACTGCTTGGACCACTCCTGAGGAGCATGGCCTGCAGAGCTCGGCACAGTCATAATGGAATCTATGGTGGTCATGCACATGTCCTCGCCATCTTGATAAATCTCCTTGCTGTTGTATGGATAATTCTCACCACCGATCACCAGTTTGTATGAGACTATCTGCATTCTTGGTCACTATGAGGTCAGTTTGTTGCCATTATCCCCTTTTAGAGAATGGATCACAGGATGCACTTGGTCTTGTACGGTCGACAAAAAACACTTAGTAGTCTAATAAAAAGAGGTACTTATCTTAAACAATGAATGACAGAAACTAAGGTCACACTACACTGAATGGTAAAGGTAAAGTTGTAGTCCCAGAGGGCCATAGGGCTGCTCTCTCGTGACAGAGACAATTGATGGTGATTTAACCTGAGGGTCACCGTGCCTTGGGTGAAGGGAGAGGTTGAGAAGGAAAGTCCTTCATGGTAACCTCAGATGGTGGGTGATTTAAACCCATGCTATTTGCATCACACTGCACGGCAATCCAGTCATCCAGCCAACTGAGCTAACCGGATATTGTTATACAGACTATGTGGAGGACCTGGATGAAGGAAGCAAATAACACTGACTTTTTCCGGCTAAGCTACCTGTGAAATCCTCACCTGACTGCAGTACCAGGAGACATAACTGCAATTCGCCATTCGAAAATCCCACATCTTCCTTTCGTTCTATCACCGACAGCACAGTGCCCACGATAATATCAATACAGAATAACCATTTAAACCCAAAATAATAAATCAAACTATTAACACTTTGCATGTAAACTAATCACAGTTATGCACTCCCTTAACACCCATCTTGCATTACACCTGTCCTAATGCTCAAATGCCTCAATAACTCAGTGCAGAGCACGACTGGAAGAATTCTGACATTCAGTGGGGCTTCTAGAAATGGCACTGTAGTATTCTGACACTGGATGGCTTAGCTTTAGACTGTGCCATGTCAGCATGTGTGGCAACAGTCTGAGCCAGTAGGTTAACAGGCAACAGCTTGGGCACCAATGGAGTGACAGTGGTGGAAGGACAAGTCCTCTGTGCTCCATACAGCCCACTGCCACACCTGGGCCTCAGCAATCGGACTTATGTGTTGGAGGACAGACTGCTGGACAGCTGTGACCCACTGCAAGCCCCTTTGAACACTGAACTTGCAGTACCCCATAGCTACCGACTGCGCTACAATGAAAGTGGAGATGTAGGCTCTCAGATGCTGTGTCATATCTGGGTTTCTGGGTGTGGGAATGGAAGTGATTATTTCAAAGCTGGAAAGGATGAACGCTGAGCTCTGCTCAAAGCCTTGTCGCATTGGACTCACTCCATGCTCCTTTACAGTGGCCAATGCATCTAGCATATAACTGAGCGTATCCATTAGCCGCCTTGTGTAGGCTGCAATATTGATGTCCTTATCTGATATTCTTGTAGCAAAACCCATGTGCAAGCTCGCTTTCCAGTAAGCTGCCCCTTTTCCCTTCTCCTGTCCGGTGTCTCAGTATTCCAAGTGGGGTGACAGGATGTGAGGATAACAATTAGGTATAAGGATACCATTACAGTCACTGAATTCAACCCAAGCTGCCTCAGGTCTCAGTCTCAGGGACAACCATCACCTCCAGTGTCCCCTGCTCATTTGATCCTTTGGGCTTCAATTCTGCACCAATCTGTCCTGCAAGAAAGACGAAAGTGTGTCAGTATAATGAGTGATATGGTTGTCATGGTTGAATAGCTGGCAGGAAGTGCAAGCTGTCAGATGTGGGT